AACTACAGACGAAAATATATTCATATAAGAAGGACCAACCAATGTTCATTTGAAATTTGAAAATATGAACAAAAAAATATAGAGGACTGAAATCTCATTTTTTTTTATATATATTTTTATAATGAATCATAAAATGAGAAGATCTTTTTTGGTTTGTTCCATGTACCTTCCTCTATTCTCAAATAATAGATTGAAAATCTAAGAGCTAATCAAAGTTATTGAGTGAGATCTTTGAAAGTTTTGCATGTGAAGCATGATTTTGACTGAAGTATACCTTGGAAATTTTTATAATTACTTTAGTCAATTAGACATTAATCTATGTTTCACGCGCTAAGAACTATTATTTTTCCTAATTTATGAAACTCTTTGAAATAATTAGTTTCCAATCCCTAAAGAAATATTATTTTTACTATTATACGAAACTCTTCGAAGAATAGTTTACAACGTCCTTCTATTGTTTGGATCATGGCGACACGGGCGGTTTATTGCCTACGACGTCACGAGAAGTCCATTGAACCTTATTATTTAAAGAAAGGAGAAGTCGTAACAAGGTTTCAGGAGATGAACCTACGAAAGGATCATTGTCGAAACCTATCTAGCAAAAAGACCCACGAACCTATCCTAACATCGAGGGCTTGTCGGCCTCGTGCTCGTGCACTCCCACCCGTGCCACGTATGTCAACGTTAGTGTTTTATTGCTAGTTTTAACAATGAGTAAAAACAATAATGGACTTTTAAATTTTATAACTAATAAAAATTAATGAAATTATAAAAGTTAAAAAAAATAAAAATCCTAATTCCCTTAATAGACAGCCCCATCTCAATAGCAAATTATGCGTCAAATGGAGCAAGCTCCATGGACAAACCACTCACCTCGACCCTCACGAAGAACAATCATTTATTTCATAATCTATAATCTAAAATGTGTTTGGTAAACTAATTTGAAAAGTGATTATCTACCAATTTGATTATGAAATGATCTATTGTATTAAAGTAGAGCTGGGCATTTGGGACCGGGTCCAAAAACCCGGCCCGAAAACCTAATCCCACAACTACACTAAAATATCCCCCAAATCTCTCATTTTTTTCTAAACCACTTAATCTCTCATTCTCTCCACTCTCTACTCCAAATCTCCAATTAAATTCTCATTCAATTTTTATTTACATTTATAATTTATTCATATTATTATTTATTTATTTAGATTATTCAATTTTTTTCTATTTTTCAATATCATCTCTTATTCATATTATTATTTAATTTTTTTTCATTTTAATTATTTATTATTTTATCATAAATTCATAATGGATTTTCAAAATGATGCATTCGGAGGATCATCTCCAAATAAGTTTTACGTTTCATCCATCGAAGAAATGAAAGGGTTCAATTCATTTTCACCCTTTCCTCCAAAGGCAGCAACTGCAATTCAACAACCACATTCGGTCAGGACAAGGTACAGCCAAATACAAGCGAGGTACGACTCAACGGGCACGGGTATGACCCAATCCCCCGACCGTCAAAGAGGGTCGTGTCGGATGTGTGACAACACTTCACCAAATCTTTTTTGTTTCTTCCATGTACCTTCCTCTATTCTTAGAAATTTGACAAAAAGTGATTAAGAGAAAAGCTACCGTAATCCCAATTAAGCCTTGGACGTGTAAATTTTCAATGGGGTTAGATGGGCCGGGTGGTGGACTTAGGGTGGACGGAGTTTTAAGGTCATTTGATTAAAGAATAATGATAAATTAAGTTTTTTTTTTTTTTTTTTTTTTTGCAACTGTAAGTGGTAGATTTTTATCACCAATATTTCAAAGAGTTTATCAAGAAGTTTATAGTGACTAATCTCACATTTAATTTCAATAATGTTTATTGAATGAATCATTCACTATGGTGACACTCACAGCATCACCAATAATTACTGTAATTATAATCACTATTGAATTCTAATTGATGAATGAATATGGGATTTCTTTGGTGAGTACATTGTCGGAGAGGCTAAGATGGACCAAGTTAGTTATTTCAGAATCGAACACAAAAGAAGATTGAGATTCAAGTTAAGATTTTCAAGCAACTACAAGTTCCCAAGCTCAAAAAGAATTTCACCAAGTTTGTCATTCGCCAAGTCGTTTTGGAATTCAAGTCAAGAAATTCAAGCAGCTTCAAGTTCCTAAGTGCGATAGCAATCGGGGTTTTTTGGAGCAATTGAATTGCATCTGGGAAGTGATAGTTGGCTGTAGAGTTTGTAAAGTGGATTCAGATTTCAGAAGTTTCGTTAATTTTAGCAAATCCCCTTGCTGTAGCCAAAGTCTAGAAGCTAAATTGCTTACCTTGTTTTAAAAGGTAGATTTGTTTAAAATGTTGTAAAGGTTTTTTAAAATTTAGAATTAGTCTATAATATCATGATTAACTTAATTGTCTTTAATGATTTAATAGTACTAGGAAATCTTTTAATTATTTGAATACATGAGTTAATTAAATAGTACTAAATCATCCTCCGTGATGTGTTTTGATTAATTGGAATAATATATATACATATAATGTTGAGATCCCAAATTGGTATCCTAAACTAAAGAGATGCCACCGAAATCAACCCTCTCATGAGTTAGGGCACGTTTGAGATATCTATGTGTACAAGTTTGAGATATCTATCGTGTATGTATAACGTTACCTAATTATTAGAAGGGGGGGGGGGGGGGGGGGGGGCTCATGCCAATTTGGCTTTCTCTCAAATTGAGCTTTTGTAGCTTTGAAGAGCCCAGTTCATTGGGCTTCAGTGAGCCTTATTGGGCTCCATGGGTTAGAAGAGCCCTTATATTCGGGTTGAATGGGCCAAATTGTGGGCCCTTGTATATCCTTTAGTTATATACAGATGGATCATGGGTGAACCTACAGGATTTGGGCCGAGATTTAGATGAAGCTAAAAGTTGAATTCTTTAAGCAAAATAATCTGAGTAAAAAATTTCTAAACAAAGTAATGAATTTTTAAGAAGAGGGCGTGATTAGGTATAAGACTAATTAACTCCTCTTCTTATTTCCTGAACACATAAGAAATCACCTTTGCTTTCATGTACCAATCACATTTTTTTAAATAATATAAAACCTACAATACTGAATTTAAATGAAATGGATAATAAGATATGAATATGATATATAATAAGACGTTGGAGGATATCTTGGTGAATTGATAGAGATAATAACACCCCAACATAAGAAGTTTTAGTAATTAATAAAATGAAGAATCACATGATTTAAATTAATTGTCATCAATAGAAAATAGCCGGAATACACTAGACCATCAAGTATAACACCTCTACCATGGTCTACATGTTATAATTAGAGTGTTAAACCATACTACTAAATGTTAGACTATCGAATCTTGCATAATCTAGCGTTATATGTTAGATGGCATATCATATATTGTTTCATTAAATGGTATAGTATGTAAGTCAATGAATTTTAAGACTAGATTTGTTCTTTTAATAAAATCTTCACATTTTTGAATATTTTGATTATTGAGTTGGCTAGATATGTCAAAAACCTTTATTTTAGGAGAGTGATCTTAAACAAGTATGAAAAAATACACCAATGCTTAAGAAAGTAAAGAATTACAACAACATAAAGGGAGACGAATATAGTTGTCCATGATTAATGCTCTTGAATGAATATAATGGTTTACAGATTAATTTATTTATCTTGTTTAATGAATGGTATGGCTTTTTTTAGTACAACTTATAAGAGAAGAGCTTATTGTATTAAAGTTTTTTATGAAAATTTTGATAATTGTTCGATTAGGAGAATGTAAAAGAGCTTTCTAATATTGATGGGGTTTTAATATTCAAGAATAGATCAAGTTAAATTTATAAACTAGAATAAGACTATTTTTAAATATTTTTTAAATTTCAACACTTTAAATAAGCTCAAAAAGATCATATTCCAATAATATTTTGTGAAAGTGTTAATTTTCCTACCAGATCGAGAGATATTTTGCAGATAATTCCTATCTAAGAGAACCTCTTCGAAAAAAGCTAAAAAAAATAGTCTCTTCTAATTACCCTCTTAGATTGGAATTTGGCTCAATTAATAGATATGTGGAGCATTGATCATAGAAGTCGTCATTAGTAACTATGATCGCAGTTATTTTTTAAAGGGAAAACCGTTATATAAGTCGCAATATGAGTAATTTTAACTAAATAGTTTCACTATTTTAATATGATGAAATTATGAGATTGTCTCGTATAAGTATTGTTAGACATATATATCTTCTTTAAAATTATAAGTCGCAATATGATAATTCCTAAACTAGAGAGATATCATACTACCAATTACCAAATCAACTATCTCGTGTATGTGTGTATGTATAACGTTGGGGGTGACAGAGCCATTTGCCTTCTCTCAAATTGGGCTTTTGTGGCTTTGAAGAGCCCAGTTCATTGGGCTTTGGTGAGCATTATTGTGCTCCATGGGTTAGAAGAGCCCTTGTATTTTAGTAACATATAGTTGGATGAACCTGCATGATTTGGGCCCATTAGAGATTTAGATAAAGCTAAAAGTTCCCATAATGCTATTGTGATACGGTGATGACGCGGAGTAGAATATATATGATAATGGTATTAAGAACATTGAATTCTTAAAGCAAAATCTGAGTCAAAATTTTAAAACAAAGTAATGGTTTTTTAAGAAGAGGGCGTGATTCGGTATAAGACTCATCAACTCCTCTTCTTATTTGCTTAAGACATAAGATATCAGCTTTGCATATCTTTTTAATTAAATATTAATACACATAACGTGTTATTATTGAAGGAGTGTTCATACATTTGAGGTATTTTGGTCAAACATAATTTGAGAGTTGCTTGACGTGATAACATTGATTGAGGGCAGGTGTCCATAGCGAAGGTCAATTAGATAATATCTCCCAACAAAAGATGACATGATGTGAACACAAATTTAGATTATAATAAAAGAAAACCAAAAACAGATATTAGGGCAGGCTGCGGCCAGCAAAATGGAACTTTAGAATCTTCAAGTGTGTTGGCTTTAATATTGTATTCTTTACGCGGTTCTCAGCGAATCAACCACCGACCGCGATTAGACTCCTCCTTCTAAGAACCAACATAAATAATCAATCATTCTATATATATATATATTCTCCATTACTCAATTATTCTTCATCTACAACCTGTAACTTTATTTTCTCTTCATATTCTCCATTACTCAATTATTCTTCATCTACAACCTATAACTTTATTCTCTCTTCATCATTTCCTTTGCGTATCCGCCTTAACGTTTGTTCAAACATGAGTTCTTCTAACAATCAAAACCAGCCTTCAGGTATGTCGAAAGAATTATAATCTTTTGCGATTGTTTCAATACAATAGTGTTCAGTCATATTAATTTATTTATATGGAAATTGCAGTGACATGCCCGCCAACCTCAACCGGACCTTTCGTAGCACCGCCGCCACCTGGTTATCCAACCATGGATAATTCTGCCAATCAGAATCAAGCTCCAGTGGAAACCAAGTCCAGAGGCGATGGTTTCTGGAAGGGATGGTAAGTTTAAGATTTTTTTTTTTTTTTTTTTTGGATTCCTTTATTGTTTCTCTAATGAATATATCAGCAATTACAGTTGATTGATTGGTTACTTTTGTTTATGCAGTTGTGCTGCGTTGTGTTGCTGCTGTGTGTTGGATGCTTGCTTTTGATCGTCGTCAAGATTTCTAATGTTACAGAGTGGTTTCTGCAGATTGATATTTATTTATTTGTGTAATTTAGAGGATGGGGGTGGAAGCTTTTTGTATTATTCTTTCCTTTTCTTCTTTATCTTTAGTAATTGAGCTGTCTCTGTAACTCTTTCTGTTTGTATTTGATACATTTCTTGTTCTAATAAACTTCCTCTTGCTTGTCTATCTCATCCATTGCTTTTTTTAATATTTTTATTCACAGAAGAAACAAAGGATAAATTAACATCAGACCAATTAATTACATTTTCCCATACAATCCATTGTAAACGTATATGTTATTACCAATAATACTAAGCTCCAAAACCCTTATTTCTAACTTTCTCTTATAAATACAACGTATTAATTCGTAATTGATCAGTTTATAAAGAGTCTCATCTGTCTAATAATGGGTCTTGCCTACCCAAATACAAACTCTGTTTGTGAAAAGTGTTTGTTAGCCTATCTTTATTCATGTTACCACCACTGGTGTAGAAAAAAAAAGGTTTATGTACTATAACAGTCTAAGGGTATTATCATCATTTCACACAATATGAAATAATGGGGTATGTTAATTAGTTTCAATGGAATTCTCCAAAGTTTTGAATACCATTGTAGATTTAATTCCAAATAAAATAATATTTAATTTGGCTTTCCTTATCAAAGGTTGCATTATTCAGTGTATTAACAAGAATAATCAAATATCCTCCATACTATGATATGGAAAGATTTTTTCTATAAAATATTAACAATAGTGTAATGCAATAAATAAGAATGTTGAAACTCCACTTTACTTCTCGTTTTGTGATCGAATGACAAACCCTTTAATTAGTAGGGTTTAGAAAAAATGTTCTATCTATTATAACAATCTAAGAGTATTATCGTTATTTCACGTAATATTAAATAATGGGGTATGTTAATTATTTTCAATGGAATTCTCCAAAGTTTTGAATACCATTGTAGATTTACTTCCAAATAAAATAATATTTAATTTGGCTTTTCTTATCAAAGGTTGCATTATTCAATGTATTAACAAGAATACTCAAATATCCTCCATACTATGATATGGAAAGATTTTTTCAATAAAATATTAACAATAGTGTAATGCAATAAATAAGAATGTTGAAACTCCACTTTACTTCTCGTTTTGTGATCGAATGACAAACCATTTAATTAGTAGGGTTTAGAAAAAACGTTCTATCTACTATAACAGTCTAAGGGTATTATCGTCATTTCACGCAATATTAAATAATGGGGTATGTTAATTATTTTCAATGGAATTCTCCAAAGTTTTGAATACCATTGTAGATTTGCTTCCAAATAAAATAATATTTAATTTGGCTTTCCTTACCAAAGGTTGCATTATTCAATATAATAACAAGAATACTCAAATATCCTAGATACTATGATATGGAAAGATTTTTCTATAAAATATTAGCAATAGTGTAATGCAATAAATAAGAATATTGAAACTCCACTTTACCTCTCGCCCTGTGATCGGATGACAAAGATTTTAGTTAGTAAGGTTAGTTATACTTAAGGATTTTATATTTCGAGTTACAAGCAAAGACAATTATCGGGTTTGCTCAGAAAAAAAAAAAAAAAAAAAAACTCCGCTTTGGCTTTAACAAACATCGGCAGTGAATGAGTGTGACTAAATTTTAAAATTGAAAATTGCACATTTTACTGATTTTAGGGGGCCAAAGTAAGGATTTAATGAATAAGAGAGGCTAAATTAATATAGTTTTTATTGTATACATAATTATAAATTTTTTGTTAGACTATAGGTTGCCATTAGCTACATTTTACCTATAGGTACACTTATATAATTATCAGATTAGGTTATATCGACTTTAAATATTTGACTTGATTTTTACACTAACCAATAAGGCAATAATCATCAATTCACTGTAAGAAATTTTATTTGGTTAATCTTTTTTAAAAAGTCGAATCCAACTTTTTAAATGACTTTATAAAGAGGGCCTTTTCATAAGATTTTTGGACATTTTTACCCTTATTTTCCACACTTAATCACATTAATACCATTGCATCCATGAAAATGACAAAATACTTTTAATTTAAGATTGAAACTTAGAATATTATGATTTTTTGAAATAATATAGTGTTAAAAAGATATATGAAATGTAAAACATATATATATATATATAGGGAGAGAGAGAGAGAGAGAGACTAAATTTGGTTAAAAAATGGCTTTTCCAAAAAACTAATGAATAAATTTTAGCAATTAAATTTTGCAATGCACAAACGAGGTATAATGATATTAGTTTCGCTTGAGTAGATTTTTTAAATATTTTATATCATTATACCCCTATTTGTGCAAGAGGGGACTCCTACGACTCAAGAATTTGTAATTTTTCCGGAAATTTATCACTAATAAATGTATGAGACTCTGTGCACTCTCAATCTTGATTTTATACGTATATTCAATATAAGAATTTCAAAAATTAAATTCTACAATTCAAAAACCCTATAAAATAGTTTTCCTTATCTACTTTTAAATTTGCTCAACAACTCTCAACAAATTCATACTTTCTACCAACTTTACTATTGCTTACCCATTTCCATATTTAATGTTTTTTTTTTTTTTTTTTTTTTTTTTTTTGTCTTACCAACTCCATTATTGTTATACGATATTTTGTTTAGTATTCAATAAAGGTAAGAGTTATCTATTGCAATAAAGTAATATTAGGTCCACAACTTAATTTTATAATTCTGATGTAACAGTTCGTTATTAGTTAGCTTGTAAAATTGATTTTACCTACTTATATGGGTCTTGTCTACTTATTTACGAACTAATGAATAATGAACTATCACGTCGTGGATTGTGAATTTAGTATTATTGATTGCTATAAGGGTTTAAAAATGGATTTTCAATCCATATATTAGCTTTGCATTTAATATCTATTTTTTTTTATTTATGGGTATATAAGTAGGAATGAAAAAAATTGGGGTCAAGGATCGATGATGACATCCACAACCCAGTCCTCGCCAAGATGAGTCCCCGATCTCATCCACTACATTGTGTGTTTGAAGGTGGGGTTAAGGTCCAGCCCATTCCCTGTCAAAATTCCATTCCAGACTATTGGCCCGATAAACTCCATTCTTATCAGAGTCCCATTCCAGATGCAAGGCCCCATGAAAGCCCATTCCATCTGAAATTCCGATTGCAGATCCGAGGGCCCTTAGGATTAGCACTCATCACTTTAGCTAGGGTTTTTTTTTTTGAGAGCGCTATAAATATATTCCCAACGCTATAAACCTATCCCAAAGGCCGCTTCTTCGTAACTAGGGTTTTGATCCCAGAGGAGAGAAGAACAAAGAGAAGAGAAAGATGGTTAAGTTCCTCAAGCCGAACAAGGCCGTAATCCTTCTCCAAGGCCGCTACGCCGGCCGCAAGGCGGTGATCATTAAGTCGTTTGACGATGGCACCCGCGAGCGACCATACGGCCACTGTTTGGTTGCGGGGATAAAGAAGTACCCGAGCAAGGTTATCAGGAAGGATTCGACCAAGAAGACGGCCAAGAAGTCCCGCGTCAAGGCCTTCGTCAAGCTCGTCAACTACCAGCACCTGATGCCCACTCGCTACACTCTCGATGTCGACTTGAAGGACGTTGTCACCGGCGATAGTCTGCAGAGCAAGGACAAGAAGGTTACCGCTTGTAAGGAGACTAAAAACAGGTTGGAGGAGAGGTTCAAGACCGGCAAGAATCGTTGGTTCTTTACCAAACTAAGGTTTTAAGTTTTTTATTTTGTAGGGACGGCTCGTCGTTTTGTTTTTACTTAGTTGATTAATGTTGTTAAGATGATTTTGAGGATTATTTAGTGTTTTGTGAACTTGTTTTTGTTTGGATCTGGGTCCGTTTCCATTAGACATTTTTGGTTTTATAATGCTTCTTAAAGATTATTACTATAAATTGCTCATGTTATTATGTTTATTTTCATCTCCGTTTATTGGATTGATTTGCTCATATAATGCTTGATTTCTGTTATCCTGTTGAAGGCTTATATTCATATAGTAAGTTATTGCGTAGTTGATTGTATTAATGGATGACTGCGATGAGCTATTGTGTATAGTTTTCTACTGTTATAAGATGGGTTTTAATTAAATAGATTTTATTTTGAGGTTAGGTTCATGATAACATTTTTGCAGTTGTGGTTCTGTGTATATCAGATCATATTAACTATATGATTTTCAAACTTATCAAAATGTATTGATTGTTTAGAGTGTTTTGATCAGGTTTTGAAATCTCTTATTGTGTCGATGCATTTGTAAATACTTTGCTCCACTTGTTACAATTTGACATAGGACGAAGGTTCTTCTGTACATGAGTATACTATAGATGATTGTTTGGTTTGCACATGTTTTTGTGTTTCTGTTTATATAAATCACATTGTGTTTGATATCAATGTCACATTGCGACCATATTTTCCAATATGTTTAGTTGAGAATGTGTTTGTGTCTTGAGCAATCGCACTTAAATATATGCTAATACAAGTATTTCTTGGTTTTTATTAATTACAATTTTATTCTATTTGATGTGTTTTCTGGTTTTGAATTTAATGAAATAGATTTTATAGAGGTTAGGTTCATGATAACATTTCTGCAGTTGTAGTTCTGTGTATATCATATGATATCAACTATATGATTTTCAAACTAATCAAAAGGGTATTGTCTTCGTTTAGATTGTTTTGATCAGGTTTTGAAATCTCTTATTGCATCAATGTCTCATTGTGTTTGAGACATTGATGCATGTGTTTGGTTTGGTTTGCACATGTTTTTGTGTTTTTGTTTATATAAATCTCATTGTGTTTGATATCAATGTCACATTGCAACTATATTTTCTAATATGTTTAGTTGTTAAATGTGTTTGTGTCGTGAGCAATCGCACTACACTTATATATATGCTAATACAAGTATTTCTTGGTTAGTTTTTCGCAGAATGTACTTTAAAGAGTTGCTATATGACCCCCATTAATTCTCTATGGAGTCCCAATTTGATATTAGATTTACCTTAATTCCATAAATGGCCTTGTTTCTGTTTCTTTTTTCAATTTAAAAAAGCACCCGCATTTTTATAAATGTAATAAACTTTTCACATATAGCGCTTATATGGTACCAATATATCTACAAATATGTACACATCAAACTTCATAGTTTAGAATCGGGAGAACCACATTCTCCCACCCAAGGTTTAGTGAAATGACAATTTCTTACCCGTTAAGTTTCAAAATTCGTTAAGTAAGTTTCAAAACGACATTTTTCTATCTATAGTCTGTTAATTTTAATTGGAAAAGGATAGAATGATTAACTTAAAAAACAGTCAAAGGCTAATTATGTTATCTTGTAAGCTGTATATAAACTTTTTGTATTCAAACGCTTCCTTCCCCACCCCACCGCCACTTCGTCTACTATTTTTCTCGTCAATGCCATCACTAGTCAAGCTCTCACCTACGCTTAGTTCATCCGCCAAACTAACTCTCTCTCCTTCTCACTCAGGACACATTACTCTGTGCCAAATGATATCGCTTTCATCATTTCGCCTCCCTCACCAATTGGTCGGAATCGCACCTGGCCAGGTGCGATTCAGGTCGACCCCACTAATTGGTTGGATTTACACCAGGCTGAGCGTGATTTCGGTCGAATCGCATCTGGCTGAAGTGCATCTAGCCAAATTCAAACCCGGATCTAGTTTTGTTGTTATTTGGGATAATGGGTTGTTTTTTGTGTATTGAATTGTTGGGGAAATTGATGGGATGGGAGAAGGGATGGTAAAAACGGAATTGCACCAGATCCGCGTCGATTTGGCCGGATGCAATTCGGTCACCAAGTTCTTCTAAGCTCTTCTCATGAGAGGTCATGTTGAGGAAGCCCTTGGACGCATTGATCTGCTGATGTACAGTGGTTGTGCACCCAATTTTGATAGTCTCTATCTATTTTGTTTGAGAAAGGAAAAACCGTTGTTGCTCTTAAGTTGTTGGATTTTTGTTTGGAGAGAGACTGCATTTTAGACTTTTCAAGCTATGAGAAGATGTTGGATGCTTTCTTAGCAGCAGGGAAGACTCTCAATGCATATTCTTTATTGTTTAAAATTCTCGCGAAAGGAGGATCCACTGATTGGAAGAGCTGTGAGGATTTGACTGCTAGCCTTAATCAACAAGGGAACACAAAGCAAGCAGATATACTCTCCAGAATGATAAGGGGAGGGGAGACAACCCGTGGGAGCAAGAAGGGGAAGAAACAATCAACAGTTCCCAGCTAGTTTTGCCTTTTTATCTCCATTTCTAATTTTAGTGTAGTTTTTTAAGTAGAGAACTTTGGCTTGAAACTTTTGCTTGAACCCGTGTTATACCACATGAAAGTTTTGCTTCGTATTCCTGAAAATCCAATTCTATGTTCAAGCTTCTATACTCGTTTTAAGTTAAATATTTTAATACCATTTGCAGCTTTGAAGAGGATGATTTGTTTTTAAAATCAGTTTCTTGTTGTAATCTTAATAATGTAACACAATCTAGTGAACCTAAAGCCAAGTTAGGCTTCCAAGGGTCTTGTGTCTTCTAGCTTCATCTGGGCAGATGCAAATCGGCAACATCTACGGCGAAGGAGAAAGAAGAAAAGAGAAACAAGAAGAGAGAAGGATATTTTCGTCTTTATACTGTTTATACATATTAGATAATAGATTTTCCTAACGGAACTTAATGTTGGGTGTAAAATTGTCATTTTGAAACTTAACGGATATAAAAGTATCATTTTGCCAAACTTTGGGTGGGAATATGTCTGTGTCCCTTTAGAATCCCTTTGTTCCTAATTGATTTTCAGGGTGATATGTGCATCAAAGATTCAATGTTGCTTGTTCAATTTCTTGAATATTCATAACTAGATTTTGAGTTCTCCAGGCTAGCCCAATTTGAGAACATTGAAACACCTTGTATTGTGTTGTATTAACAACAAAACTCGTTTGTAAAAATGTAGCAAAAAGTGGGGGTCGGATATATAATTATTGCACGTTATTTAGCACCACATCTAATAGACTTGCTAGAAGCTAGAACCAGACTGAAGTTTGGTTGGCAAGGCATAAGTCTTGGTATGCTTAATTCTTGTGTCAGTTGAGCGATGTTAGAATTTAATAAGGAAAACAGAGTTTAGGTCTACATATAAAATTCAGTCTCCGTCACGTTGTTTGGTTGGGTCATTAATTCTTATTTTATTAGGCTGTTCCAAGTTCAGAACCAGCCAGAGCAACACTTTTCAGAGATTATTAAACAAATAATTTCTCTATTAATCTATAGAACAATATCTCAAAAACAAGTCTGAAGCATCTTAAGTGACGCGAGGAAGATCAAATAAAATCCTTATACAAGTCGTACAAAACCCATAAAATTTTCCCTGAAAATCTATGGAATCTCTTGAGAATTTGGCAGATTCGTCCAATAATTCACTCTTCTTTGACTTCATTGGAATACTTTACAATGCCATGTGAATGCACAATCTTAACTCCTTATATCATATCAAATAGTCTTTTCTTCCAAGGAAGTCCACACATCCTACATCATGGATAAGGCATTCTCCCAATTTTGTATCATAAATTCACTAAAGTTGTTATAAATAGAACCCACCTTTTGCTAGAGAAGCTAACTTGTGATCACATATCCTCCTATCAGATAATGCTTTGGAGACCCATAGCAAAGTTAATCTTATAGGTTTTTTCTTACAATCTTAAAGTGATAGCTTGCAAATGATCGCTTGACCCATAATGAACAGATAAGACTCATTTGTAAACTGTCACATCAAGATTGTAACGGAAAATTTATAAGATTGAATTGTAAATATAATTACAATATTACTCAAGCAAGAATTCTCAACTTGCAATGATAGCCTATCCTATGAGTTTACATTATGTCCTCATTCGTGGGTACTTACGACGAGTGAATTCTCAACTTGTAATGATAGTCTATCTTATAAATTTACATTATGTTTTCATTCACAATAATTATGGTGAATTAAAAATAACGTGGATAGACACACAGTTTTAAGTATGATTCGCAGAAATAAATAATATATTAATTAGAGATATTGATGTCTCCTTATGATAAAGACAAATAGCCCTCCCTTAATATTACCCAAAACAAACATCCCGAGAATCCAATGACGATGCTATTATATATTAATTAATCACTTAATTAAACTCCTTAATCAAACTTTTTCCCATAAACGAACGGACTTAACGACACTCTCAAACGGAGTACCTAACGACACCACAATATCAAAATCCATCTCATCTCTTCTATTGGAGAAGAAAAGTTACTTCACTTTCTCTCAAACTTTCCCTCACTTTCTCTCTCCCCAAACACAACTGCTTGTAGTATTCAGTTCCTTTAATTTTTAATTATAATTTTACCTGACACACCTCTGCAACTCTCTGTACATTCTTCCCTTGTCGTTCTCTCTGATTTGTCACTTTTCTTCCGAAAGCTCTTCCCCTCCCGAATCTCTCTGCTCCTCTGTTATCATGCTTCAGAGCTTAGTCACTCAGTCTCCAATCAACTCCAATAACAATAACAACAACAACAACTCTTCCGCAATGAAAACCAAGCGCGTCGACCGCGAGACCGACATCACCGACGTCGATGATCCTTCCATGAAACGCGCCAACATCGAACAAACTCAAAGTCAAACTCAGCAACCACACGAGCAGCAAGAGGAAGCGTCGGAAGCTGAACAGGTGGTTATGGAATTGGAGGGAGAGTCAACCGGATTGAAACTCTTAGGTTTATTGCTTCAATGCGCTGAGTGTGTCGCCATGGACAATCTCGACGACGCCACTGATCTCTTACCTGAAATCTCCGAGCTATCCTCTCCGTTCGGTTCTTCGCCGGAACGCGTCGGCGCGTACTTCGGTCACGCGCTCCAGGCGCGCGTTGTTAGCTCATGTTTAGGAACCTACTCGCCTCTCACCACGAAATCGTTAACGTTATCTCAGTCTCAGAAGATCTTCAACGCCTTGCAATCATACAATTCAATCTGTCCGTTGATTAAGTTCTCTCATTTTACCGCCAACCAAGCAATTTTCCAAGCTCTGGCCGGCGCGGATTACGTCCATATCATCGATCTCGATATCATGCAAGGCCTTCAATGGCCAGGACTGTTTCACATCCTCGCCTCCCGGTCTAAAAAGATCCGATCCATGAGAATAACTGGGTTCGGATCCTCCTCTGAGTTGCTGGAGTCAACCGGGAGACGACTTGCTGACTTTGCCAATTCACTGGGATTACCATTCGAGTTTCATCCACTGGAAGGCAAAATAGGAAATGTGACTGATCTGAGTCAACTCGGGGTGAGACCGAGTGAGGCAATTGTGGTCCATTGGATGCATCATTGTTTGTACGATATAACGGGGAGTGATTTAGGGACGTTGAGATTGTTGACTTTGTTGAGGCCGAAATTGATCACGATCGTCGAACAAGATTTAAGCCATCGGGGTAGTTTTTTAGGTAGGTTCGTGGAAGCATTACACTATTATAGCGCACTGTTTGATGCGTTAGGGGATGGATTGGGTGTGGACAGTGTAGAGAGGCACACGGTGGAGCAGCAGTTGTTTGGTTGTGAGATCAGAAATATCGTGGCAGTTGGTGGGCCCAAGAGAACAGGGGAAGTCAAAGTAGAGAAATGGGGTGATGAACTAAGACGGTTCGGGTTTGAACCCGTTTCACTTGGAGGTAACCCGGCTGCACAAGCCAGTTTGTTACTTGGGATGTTCCCGTGGAAAGGGTACACTTTAGTGGAGGAAAACGGGTCATTGAAACTGGGTTGGAAGGATTTGTCTTTGTTGACAGCTTCGGCTTGGCAGCCGTCGGATTAAATATATAACTAGACTGAATCCAATGGATCAATGATTGGGTTCATCGAATGAAAATGTTGTCGTTTTGAGTAAATGATCAACATTGAATAGTGGGTCATGGTTGGTGAGAATGTATTTGTTTATAATCCTTTGGTACAATTTTTTAAGCATCTATGCTTGGAAGACTCAGCCGATTGGAGAGTATTTAATTTATGTTCCATCAATTTTTGGGAGGAAAAGAAATAGAGAGAAAAAGGAAAAGGATAGTGGTTAACTGATCCTATTCAATTCAACTAGTTCCTGAAATTTGTAATTGTAAAAATGCTGATTTGAAGTAAAATCATTGACATTTTCATTGTTTTTGGTAGCGTATGATTCTTATTGTTAAAAATTGGTAGAATTATAATGGTGAAGTGGGCTATGCAAAAACAAAGTAAAATTGGTCGTAGGGTAGCGAATGGAATAATTGGGGAGTAGATATATTTGTGATTTTGCTATCAAGGGGCATTTGAATAGTCCAAAAGAAAGGAGAGGAAAGGGCTAGCCTACTTTGATATTAAAATTGCAAATGGAAGAAGAGACCAGTGGTTATGACAAAAGTTGAACAACGCGTGAGTCATGGATTGGTAAAGCCAAACAAATGAGTCCATATATGTAATTGTCAGGCCCCCTTCAAAACCAAAGCTTTGCTCCTCAAATCAAATTTTTTTCAACAAGGTGAATCATCACTTGTGTATATTGATGTATATACGATTAGAAATTAGAACAAGTGCTAAAAACACTCTATTAAGCACTCTTTTTCTCGTTTACCATTTGATATATGCTCAAACGGCAAAAAATATATACAATAAATAATCATTCCCTTTGTCTTCTTGTACCCGTATCAAATGGCGAGCAAAAAAGTAAGAAAAATAGTAGAAAAGAGAGTGTTGTCGATATTTCTCAAAGAAGTCTACCAAAATGACGAAAACAATATTGATAAAAGTGTTTTTTTGTTTTTTTGTTTTTTTTTTATAATTTAAGGTATTTGGATCAGTTTACTTATACCTCAACTAATCCTTCGAGACTTTAAAACTATAACTCATGTAAAAACTCCATTAATTACCTTTATTAGCAACCGAAGAATAACTCAAACTCAAGACTTTTGGAGTAATACATCTAAGAGTCTCTATCAAATCACTCGACCATCTAGGGGTTGGTTTAAATGATCAATCAAATCTAACATGGAACTCATGATAAAATATTACAAATTAATGAATTATGAGTCGAAATGGAAATTGCATAGCCTAAAAATAACCTATTTTATAAGGTAGTTTTTGAATATTAATTAAAACATGATAAATTAACCACTAGAGTTAAGGTTTTATAAAATGCAAAGGTATTGAATATTAGGTACGATCACATTTTTCTTTTCATAATTTTGTTCTCTTTCTTAGAGTTAAAAATTTCATTTCTAATTAAAAATTTTAACCCAAAATTGTAAGTGAGAACAATTGATATATTTTAGATAAATTTTTTAAGACTCGAATAAAAATAAGTGATAATTTAAAGATGTTTAATCCACGTGGAAATGATAAATTTTTTTTATTTTTTTTTATGTATTTTCAAACTTTCAAACAAATATGTCAAATTTGTTTTCATTTTTCACGTTTCTAGATACTATTTTCAAATAAATATACAAAATGTGTTTTCACTTTTCGTCTTTACCAATCATTTTCAATACTTAAAAAAATACAAAAAAGCAAATACACAAAATTTATTTTAAAAAAAATAAAAAATTAGACGCTAGAAAGAGATTTTACTAAAATCAAATCAGAGGATTGCTGTATAATTGAAAATCATGTCTAACCAATCAAGCAACGACACTCCAACTAATCTCAAAATGCATTCGGCCCATAATTGCTCGGCCCGGTACTTCATATAAACACTCAGCTTAAGTTTTTAGTTCTATTATGTTAAAATTTTGGTGTTAAAATAGACGGCATATTATAAATTTTAACGGTATATTAATTACCCACTAACAACAGTTGAATTTCTGTTATTTATGTAATATTAGGGGGATATTATTTGACTAAACCGGTCGAAGAAAACTCAATTTTAAAATACAAATCACGTCATAAAATTCTTCTTACCAAAATTATGCAAAATTTGTATAAAATAACTATTTATACCCTTTATTTTTTTTTCTTATTAAATGATTCAGTTTTATGAGTAATATTACACTTACAAAAAAATCTTATAAAAAATTTTATATAAAGTATTATAACAAAAAATAAATAGAAGAGTGAATATAATAAGTTTGACTTTTTATTTAATTTTTTCATTTATTTTTTATCATTTTACTTTATATGAAAATCTTTGTAAAAGTTATTTGTAAGTGTAATATTATTGCAATTGTAAATATAATATTGTTTAATTCTCCCTCCTTATAATCAAAACAATAAAGATTGGTTTACAGTGTCGTGACATTTGGTAATTGGCGAGGTCATAATTCGAAAAGCAAAACCCAGTACGAATTATACTTCGGATTATAAAAAAAAGTTTGTGAGATCGAATTATCACTTCAGATTATAAGAGAAAGTTTGTGAGATCGGTGGTAAGTATAGTATTGTACTATTCAAAGTTCAAATTGATTTAGCTTCGAACTCTTAAACTATCTTAATCTGATTCATCATCATTTTCGGTTTCTGTAAGTTTTATTGAACTCGTTTATCATATTTTATTTTTAATGAAAATCTTTGTTCCCTGTGATTGGTTTCTCTTTACTTGGATTAACGCTGCTGAAACTTAAGCTTTCTGTAAATTAACAAGCGTTCTTGTGTTTTTGGTAGCTGTGAATTTGAACTTGATTGCCCATTATTAATTTTTATTTTGGGTTTATGATCAAACGTATTAACAATTGGAACGTTTAATAGTTCCTACATTTAAGATGTTCGATGAAATGACTGGGAGATTTGTAGTATCACAAACTTTGTCAAAAGAATAGCTTAATGTTATTATTGTGTGCATTGATACTGGTTCATGAATCTTGACATTTAAAATAAATAAATAAATAAGTCTAGATGATGGCATTCACTTAAATTATATTAATGGGTGATTTAGAGTTTTAGTGATGAGGGGTAGAAGATGATGTTCAAGTTGCTTAATTTAAGGCTGTTCAGGTAAATAAATAAATAAATAAGTCTACAATGAGAGATGACCTCAAACGCCTCTTGGATTTCTTCTACTGGTCAAAATCTCAAACGGGTATCCAACATTTTTTGGATTCTTTCTCCATTCTTGCACTTAGGCTTTGCAACTCCAATCTTTTTGGACAGGCTAATGGTGTGTTGAATAATATGATAAAAACTAGTGAGTCTTGTTCTTCGATTTTGAATTCAATTATTTGTTGCTACAGGAACAGTAGAGGCTCTAATCCGATAGTGTTTGATATATTGATTGGTAGTCTCAGGAAGATGGGCATGCTAGTTGAGGCCGTGGATACGTTTTTGGGTGTTAAAAGAGCTCATATCTTGCCAAGCGTTTGGTGTTGTAATACCTTGTTGAGTGATTTGTTGAAGGATGATACGATATAGTTATTTTGGAAGGTTTATAATGGAATGTTGGATGCCAAGATGGATTTTGATTTGTATACATATACGAATTTGGTTAATGCACTTTGTAAGGTTGGGGATTGGAATGGTGCAAAGAAATTGCTTACTCAGATGGAAGAAAAGGGATTTAGTCCTAGTCTTTTTATCTACAATGTTTTGATTTGAGGTACATGCCATGTTGGAGATGTTGATGGTGCATTTCAGCTAAAAAATTCTATGGTTGAAAAGGAGTGGTTCCTGATGCCTATACTTACGATGTGATTATTCATGGTCTTTGCAAAGGGAAGAAACTAAAAGATACAAAATTGGTGGAGGAGATGATTAAAATGGGTTTGAAGCCTCATTATGCCATGTATTCAGCTTTGATTGATGGGTTAATAAGGGAAGGCTCTATAGATGAGGTTTTCAGATTGAAGTATGAGATGATTTCCAGTGGTATGGAGCTAAATTTGGCTGCCTATAATGTGATTATTCGTGGTTTTTGTAAGTATGGAGAGATTGGGAAGGCAGTTGAGATTGTGCATGAGATGACTAGAATGGGCTGCAAACCCAACTGTCAAACTTATTTTTGGTTGATAGAAGGTTATTGTCGGGAACATGATACAGGCAGGGTATTTGAGTTGCCTAATGAAATGGAAAGAAGGAACTTGGTGCCCTATGAGGGGACTTACCGCACAATTATTAATGAGCTATGCCATTGTCAGGATCTCTCAAGGGCCAATGACCTTTTGAGGAAGATGTTTGCTGGTGGATTGAACCAGGTGTTGTTGTCTTTAGAACTCTCATTATGTGTTATGCTCATGAAGGTCAGGCTGAGGAGGCAAAAAAAATTATAAAGGAGATGAATGATAAAGGAATTCTACCTAATATATTATGTTATAATCCTATCTTAACATGCCTGAGCAAAGCTGGAAAGTGGAAGAATTACAGGTGTGGTTTTTACAAATTTTACAGAGGGGGTTAACCCCAGATGCTGTTACTTATAATGCTTTGATCTGTGTGTACAGTATGAAAGACAAGATGCAGGGGGTAACTGATAGATTACATGCAATGCAGGTCTACAATAGGCAAAGGAAGCATAGCAGAGGATCACAAGCTGGGCTGGCAAAACAGTACAGGACAGATGGCAACAAGACAGAGGACAGTCAGCATAAGACAAATGGCAATATGGGAGAGGAGCAATACAACATTCTGTTACTGGACTACCAGACAGATGGCAATATAGGAGAGGAGCAGTACAACATTCTATTATACTGGGCATTACAAAAAGAAAGCAGATCTGAGAAAAGGGGTAGGAGAGGACAAGGAATTTTGGGAGGCAGCTGGCCCTCGAAGCACAGCAGTGTTATCTTTTGTTCTTTGAATTTTTTTAAGTATTTTGAGTCCTTGATTTTGAGTACGTTGTAAGGTTTTATTCTAGTTTTTGTTTGCATTTCCAAAAGTGTAATACACAGTCTAAATCATTCCAATACAAGCTTCAGTTCTTGAATTTTCTGTTACATTTCTCTTTTTTTAACTGTTACATTTCATTGCTGGGTTTGTTGAGTTGCTGAATCCTATCAATTGGTATCAGAGCGAGGTTGCTCGCTGGGGTATGGTCGGTACTCAAATGGAAAATAGAATGGATGTTGTTGAGAAGGAAGTTACTGGGGTGAAGAGAGACATTTCCAAGTTGACAGAAACAGTGGCATCCATGAGGGAAATAAGGATGGATGTGCAAAACTGGATAAGGCGTAAGGATGAACAGGATGAAGCTCACCATAGGGCAGAAGAAGAAAGAAGACAAAAGGCTGAAGAAGAGACTCGCTGGAGGATGGCTGGGCAAGAAGAAGACAACAACTCAGTCACGGGGAACCATTGCGATGAACCACCACCACCACCTCCTCCTTACCACGAAGGCTATCACCACCACCAAGGAGGAAACCGACGAGAGTGGGGAGGTAGAAAATTAGAGCTCCCACTTTTTTCCCGCGAAGATCCATATGGCTGGGTTTTTCGTGCGGAAAGGTACTTCGCCCTTAACCAAGTTGCCGACGAGAGCAAGGTCCTCCCCACGGTGTTGTGCATGGAAGGGGAGGCCCTCCATTGGTATCAATGGAACAAATCCAGGGCACTGGGACTGACATGGGTTGTGTTCAAGGTAGCTTTCCTACAGAGATTCAGCAGCGCACAAGAAATCAGCCCGCTGGAACTGCTTATGTTGACGAGGCAGACAGGAACTGTGTTGGATTATCGTCGGCGATTTGAAGAAATTACGGCAATGACAGTAGGAGAAAGGGAGGATGTACTTTCTGCAGTGTTTTTGAATGGGTTGCGACCTGAGATTGGAGCTGAAGTGAAGCTCTAACAACCAGAAATTTTAGGTCAGCCAAATTCTTTAACTCAAATTTCAGTTCTAGCCCAAAGAGTGGAAGAAAGAAATTCAATTTTGGAAGAGGCCAAATGGGGGGTTGGGCCGACAGGGAAAATTTGGGAGAATTAGTCATGGCCCACATTTTAACTTAAACCCAACTGGAAGGGAAGAACAAAAAAGAGCCCACACCCACATAACCCAAACCCATATAACCCAACCCAGCACCACCCAAACACATTCAATTTATAATACAAAGATTCAGCCCCAAAACACAAATTTCAGGCGTGCTTCCACCGAGAACAACTCCAGTTACACGTCAACTCCAGCAGACACCTTCAGATCTTCCAACTTTTGACGAGATTTTCCTTTCTGAAGGTTGACAGAATCCGAGATCCAGAGAAAGAGAGAAAAGGGGTTATGTTATAGATGTGATGCAAAATTTTCACCTGGGCATAGGTGCAGTGAGAAACAGTTTCAGATTGTTTTGCTTGAGGGAGAAGATGACGATCCAGAGTTGCAGGAAGAAGAGGAAAAAGAGGAAGTTGCAGCTAAACAAAATCAAAGCCATGTGGAGCTATCCATCAGCTCGGTGGTGGGAATATAAGGGCCAAAAACGATGAAGCTTAAAGGGAGTGTCCACGGTAAGGAATTAATTGTGTTGATTGATAGTGGGGCTTCCCACAATTTCATTGGTTTGGATGCAATGGGTAGGTTGGATTTACCATTGGTTACTACCCCATCCTTCAGAGTCAGAGTGGGAGATGGTTATCGGGTGACATGTCAAGGGGAATGTAAAGCGGTTCCACTGGAATTACAAGGAATGGTTATAGTTCAAGATTTTTTTTTTGTTTGAAATGGGGAGCGCTGATGTAGTACTCGGGATGGCGTGGTTGAAGACTTTAGGGGAAATAGTAATTAACTGGAAGAAGAAGATTATGAAGTTCAGATTAGGAGAGCGAATGGTACAACTACGAGGGGATCCTTCCTTAAGCAAAGCACTAGTGTCTCTGAAGGCCATGATTAAGACTGTACAGAGGGAAGGACAATGAGTGTTAATCGAGTTTGGGGAGACTCAGAGACAAACGGGAAACGAAAAGAGAATTGACGAAAAATTGGTGGAGATGCTGGATAAGTTTGGACAGGTGTTCGAACCCTTGGCCGGATTACCACCCATCAGAACTCAAGACCATTCAATTCCATTAGTGTTAGGAACCCAACCCCCAAATATTCGACCGTATAAATACCCATACTATCAAAAGAATGAGATAGAGCGTATTGTTAAAGAGATGATGGCTTCCAAGATCATCAAACGCAGTGTGAGTTCGTTTTCAAGTCCCGTGCTACTAGTGAAAAAGAAAGATGGTGGATGGAGGTTTTGTGTTGACAACAAGGCCGTGAATAAAATTACAGTACCAAATAAGTTTCCAATTCCGGCAATTGATGAATTATTTGATGAACTAGGAGAAGCATCGATATTCTCCAAACTGGACTTGAAGTCAGGTTACCACCAGATACGAGTCCTCCCTGAAGACACCCACAAGACGACATTCCGGACTCACGAAGGACATTATGAATTTTTGGTTATGCCCTTCGGATTAACAAACGCACCTTCCACTTTCCAAGCATTGACGAATGAAATTTTCAAGCCGCACTTGCGCAGGTTTATACTTGTTTTCTTCGACGACATACTCGTCTATAGTAAGGGGATGAATGAGCATTTGGGACATTTGGCAACTGTCCTTCAGATTCTACTGGAACATCAGTTGATAGTGAACATAAAAAAATGTTTGTTCGGGCAGCGACAGATAGAGTATTTGGGGCATGTCATCTCAGCTGAAGGCATAGCCGTCGACCCATCCAAGATAGAGAGCATCATCAAGTGGCCGGTACCAAAGAATGTGAGAGCACTCCGTGGGTTTCTCGGTTTAACAGGCTACTATCGACGTTTTGTCCAAGATTACGGTAAGATCGCAGCACCCCTAACAACTTTACTTAAAAAAGATGCTTTCAGATGGAATGAAGCAACCCAAACTGCATTTGAAGAGTTGAAGAGGATTATGACTAGCGTTCCGGTTCTAGCTATGCCTGATTTTCCCAAAAAGTTTGTGATAGAAACAGATGCTTCGGGCAATGGATTAGGGGCAGTTTTGTCGCAAAAAGGACAGCCACTCGCGTACATAAGTAAAGGGTTGTCGATGAAGTCTCAGTTAAAGTCAGTCTATGAACGGGAACTCATGGCTGTGGTGCTAGCCACTCAAAAGTGGCGTCATTACCTCCTGGGACAGCAGTTTGTTATCCGAACAGACCAACGGAGCCTGCACTTCCTGACTGACCAAAAATTGTTCAGTGAAAGTCAACAGAAATGGGTCATCAAGCTGCTGGGATTGAATTTTGTCATACAGTATCGATCAGGAACAGAAAATAAGGTTGTTGATGCACTGTCTCACAGAGAAAAAGAGGCGGAACATAATGCCATAATCGTGGGTGCAGGTATGAAGGACTTAGAAGAAGCTATTCAAAAGGATGAGAAAATGTGTCACATTATTCAACAACTTCTGATTGATCCAAAGGGCCGACCTCCCTTCCAACTGGCAGGCCATCACTTACTCTATCAGGGCAGGTTAGTAGTCCCTAAAATAGGCCCTTACATACAAAACCTTATACATGAGTTTCATTCTTCACCTATAGGGGGGCATTCCGGATTTTTTAGAACCTACAAACACATTGGCAATGTGGTTTATTGGGAGGGATGAGAAAGGATATCAAGAATTTTGTGAAAGCTTGCGCGGTCTGCCAACAGAACAAATACTAGGCCTTGAGTCCTGCAGGATTGTTGCAACCACTACCCATTCCGAATCAAGTTTGGGAAGATATATCTATGGACTTCATTTCAGGGCTTCCGAAGGCCAGAGGGGTAGATACTATCCTAGTGGTGGTCAATCATCTCTCGAAATATAGCCATTTCATCACATTGCAGCATCCCTACACCGCTAAGGAAGTCGCTGAGGTATTTATTAAGGAAATAGTCTGCCTACATGGGTTTCCACGATCAATCATTTCTGATCCAGACCGAATCTTTATGAGTCATTTCTGGGGTGAGTTATTTCGCTAATCGGGGACCCAGCTCCACATGAGTTTTGCCTATCATCCACAAACGGACGGGCAAACAGAGGTGGTAAATCGTTGCTTGGAAACTTATCTTAGGTGCTTTGTTAATGGGCAACAGCAACAATGGCCGAAATGGATACCTTGGGTAGAATTTTGGTTCAACACCACATTCAGTGTATCGGCAGGTATGTGTCCCTTAAAGCATTGTATGGCCGTGACCCTCCGACAATATTAAAATAGACAGATCATTCCTCCCGAGTTGATGAAGTTCACCACCAACTCTAGGACCATAACTACATGCTCCAAGACTTAAAGTACAACTTGGTTCAAGCCCAAAATCGCATGAAAATGTATGCAGATAAAAAGAGAATAGAAGTCGATTTTAAGGTGGGGGACTTAGCCTATTTGAAACTTCAACCATACAGGCTATGCTCTCTAGCAAGGTGCCACAATGAAAAGCTTAGCCCACGATTTTATGGTCCATTTGTAATCAAAAACAAAATCGGGGCAGCAGTTTACCAATTAGATCTTCCTCTTTCAGCTCGCATACACGATGTTTTTCATGTGTCTCAATTGAAGAAAGCCATTTTTCCAATTTCCAATGGCCAGCCCTTTCCGAATAACCTCAACGAAAACTTAGTTTTGAATGTGGAACCCCAATCAATTCTCAAAAAACGAAAACTACTGAATGGGCAATGGGAAGTTCTCATTCACTGGAAAAGACTGCTGGAATTTGAGAGCACTTGGGAAGACATCTACACCCTCAATACTCAATTTCCCTCTTTCCACCTTGAGGACAAGGTGGCTCTTCTTGGGGAGGGTAATGATAGATCACACGCAATACAGGTCTACAATAGGCAAAGGAAGCATAGCAGAGGATCACAAGCTGGGCTGGAAAAATAGTACAGGACAGATGGCAACAGGATAGAGGACAGTCAGCATAAGACAAATGGCAATATGGGAGAAGAGCAGTACAACATTCTGTTAGTGGACTGCTAGATAGATGGCAATATAGGAGAGGAGCAGTACAACATTCTGTTATATTGGGTATTACAAAAAGAGAGTAGATATGAGAAAAGGGGTAGGAGAGGACAAGGAATTTTGGGAGGCAGCTGGCCCTCGAAGCACAGCAGTGTTATCTTTTATTCTTTGAATTTTTTTGAGTACGTTGTAAGCTTTTATTCTGGTTTTTGTTTGCATTTCTAAAAGTGTAATACACAGTCTGAATCATTCCAATACAAGCTTCAACTCTTGAATTTTCTGTTACATTTCTCTTTTTTTAACTGTTACATTTCATTGCTGGGTTTGTTGAGTTGCTGAATCCTATCAGTAACAAAGTATTTCAAGCGATGCTTGATTGTGGTTTCACGCCAAACAATCTTGTTTACACTGTTTTGATTGATGGACACTTCAAAACAGGTAACTTGATAGAAGCATTTGCAACATTCCGATGCATACTTGGGCTAGCAGTGCATCCAGACTTGCAAACTTACAATATCTTTACAAATCGCCTTTGTAAGAATGGGAAAACCAAAGAAGCCATTATGGTCCTCTTGGAAATGAAAGAAAAGGGTTTGGTTCCTGATGTTGTCACCTACAGCTCTGTCATCTTAGGATGCTGTAAACAGGCTGAGATTGAGAAGGCTGTTCAACTTTATGATGAGATGTGTTCTAAAGGTATTGATCCAAATATTTATATGTTCAACTCACTAATTGATGGACTGTGCAAGCTGGGAGATATGCGGAGAGCGAGAAAATTGTTTGGTGGTATTCAAGAAAAGGGATTTGCACCTGACAATGTAACTTACTCCACGATGGTAGATGGATACTGCAAAGCTGGGGATTTGGCTGAGGGTTTCAATTTATTTAATGTGAAGCAATCAGAAGAGGTTGAACCACATAGGTTTGTGTACAATGCCCTTTTGTATGGGTGTTGCAAGGAAGAAGATATGGAGAAAGCATTGAATTTGTTACATGAAATCGTGCAGAGGGGTTTTGCTACTACATTCTCTTATAATATTTTAATTGGTGGGTTCTGTAAGTTACGGAACCTGCAAGAAGCCAACTGTTTGTTACAGGAAATGATAGAAAATCAGATTTTACCAGATTGTGTGACTTACGCAATTGTGATTGGTTGTATTTGCAAGAAATGGAAGATGGAGGAAGCATACCATCTTTTCTTGGAGATGCAGAAGAAGAATGTGACGCTTGATGTAATAACTTACATTTCACTTTTGTATGGTTACCACAAATTAGGGAAAACCTCTGAGGCTTTCGCATTATATGAGAATATGGTGGCGAAGGGTGTCAGGCCGGATGCAATAACTACGAGATACTTATCGAAGTTCACTGCAAGAAAGATAACTTGATTGAAGCTTTCCAGTTGCAGAAGGAAATCTTGGGGAAGGGTTTGCTATCTAAGGGAACTGCTTATGATACACTGATAGATGGTGTTCGCAAGAAAGGAGATCTTTCCAAAGCTGTAGGGATCCTTGACGAAACGAGACAGCAAGGGGTTAAGCCCCGTTTTGGTACATGTAGTAGTAGTAGTAGTCAGTAGCACTGGAGTCCGTGGTCTACGTGAAGGAAGCAAAATAGATGAAGCAACAGGAATGTTAGAACACTACTCTCTGTTTCATTTACCATTTGATATGTGTACAATAGATGAAAAGGATATGCAATAAAGGATCACTTCCTTTTTTATTTTCTTTTGTCTTCTTGTACATGTATCAAACGGTGAGATAACATAAACAGTGAAGTCTAGCATAGAACCACCACTGTCCAGCGGTCAACTAAGACCCTTGGGTGTATTATTCGATCTAGTTTGATTCGTTTGAGTTGTTAATAGGAGTGGCAAACGAGAGGATTTATCTGACTGTTAAGTTTAGAGCCCTTGAGGATTAGTTGAGGTACACACAAGTTGGTCTGGATACCCCCTATCAAAAAAAAAAAAAAAATCTAGCATGGAATTTTGATAAAATAATGCAAATTATGAGTCAATAATAGATTATAGGTGCTAACTCAAAATGCTAATTGGGTTGCCTAAAAATAGCCTCTTTTATAAGGTAGTCAATAATAGATTATAGAGCTCGGTTTGATGGAAAATCAAAGGTGCATATTGTTTTCATTTTTATGCTTAAAAATTGTAAAGTTCATTCTAGCAGAAAGAGAAAGCAACTTTTGAATAAAGAATTTTTCTTTTTCTTTTTCTTTTCTCATATATATATATATATATTGGTGATAGGATTTTCCGAGCCAGTTTGGGTGCACCTTAACTAATCCTTCGGGATTTTTTAAGGGTTCTTGAAGTTGACAGTTAAGTAAATCCTTTCAATGGCCACCCCTATTAGCAACCCAAGTGGATCGAACTCAAGACCTCTTGAGTAATACACCAAAGAGTCTTAGTTGACCGTTGGACCACTCAGTACAGGTTAAATTTCATATTTTTTTTTTCTTTCTTAGAACTAAAACTTTTATTTCAAATTAAGATTTTTAACGTAAAATTGTAAATGAGAATTATTAATTAACGTATTTAGACACACCCATTAAGACGAACAAAATAAGTTTTATTGGTGGTGAAAGTGATAAATTTTGTCATTTTAATTTTCTTTTATGTATTTTCAAACAAATATGTCAAATTTTTCATTTTCTTGATTATAAATATTGTTTTCAAACAAATATGTGGAATTTGTTTTCACTTTTCATCTTTTCAAATCATTTTCAATATTTAAAAATACAAAAAAAAATTCATTAAAAAAACCACTTCAAATACGTCAATTTTCCACTCAAACATTTAGGGTCCGTTTAGTTTGTTATTTTTGATAGGATTTTAGGAATAATATTGAGTAGTTGAATAGGGTAAGTATTACGAGGTAAAATTTAAAAATTAACAAAAAAACCCTTATGTTTGCTAATTTAACTAAACACCCCAATATATAAATTTTTTGTAAAGTGACAAAAACACTCTCACCCACCCACAGTGCCAGATTCTGGCCACCACCGTCGGAATCTGGTTGGAAAATGGTGTTACAATGCAGACCGGTCGGATCTGGCCAGTTGTGCATTGATATGGTTTTTTTTTGCCAGATCCACTGTGAATCTGACCAGAAAATGTTAGATCGGCAAATTATCGATCAGTTTCGGTCGTTTCTACGTCGGAATCTGGCAACTATAGGTGGATGGGGGTGTTTTTGTTAATTTTTAAACTTTTTTTTCTCTAGGGGTGTTTATAAATTAATAAATTTAAGGGGTTTAAAAGTAATTAAAAAATATAACAGTATTTCCCAAATAATTAAACAAACATGTATTTTTGGAACAAGATAGAGAATAATAAAACAAATAGACCCTAAACTACTTATAATACCGTTTTCATCTAAAAATCATATCTAAGGGGGTGTTTGTCTAAGCTTATAAGCTGGTCAAACTTGCTTATAAGCTCTAAAATTAAGCTGACCTGTTTGTTTATAATTTTTTTGAGCTTATAAGCTAAAAAAAATAAGTTGGGGGGAGGTACTTTTTTTTTTTTTGGCTTATAAGCACTTTGCTTATAAGCTAGTTTAACCAAGTATATTACCACATTATCCTTGTTTAATTTTAAAATTCCATAATATGTCATTGTTTAATGTAGTACCTTTTTTAGTAATTTTATAATAAAATGTACTTATAAGCCACATTTTACCAAATACGTCAATTACTTATCAGTCATTTATAAGTACTTTAACCAAACACGTAATTACTTAAAATTTTAAATGCTTATAAGTTAATTTTAGCTTATAAGCAATGGTTACTTATAAGTTAATTTTCATAAGCTTAGACAAACGCCCCCTAAGTCTAACCAATCAAACAATGAGACCTCAACCAATCTCAGAATACATTAGGCCTATAATTACTTGACCCACTACTTCTTATAATGATATAAAGACTCACCTTGATTTTTTAAATCAAATATTTGAAAGGGTTTCCCTGTAAAGTATAGTTAGATGACAAAAAACAATTCTCTTCTGGTTGTAGTAATAACAGAAATCCTCGTGCTTTTAAGATTTTGGTGTTAAAATGGACGGCATAAACTTATCATGTTATAAATTCTAACGGCACATTAACGTTTTACTAACATAGGAAATTTCTGATTTCTGAAATATCAGGGGGATATTTGGTATTTGATTAAACCTCAGGGGTCGACGAAAATCGGCCTATTTTAAAATGTTTCTCATGATTTGGATTCAACTCTTCAACAATTTTCGTCCGATCCATCATCATTTTCGGTTTCTGTAAGTTTTATTGAACTCATTTATCTTTTTTTTTTTTTAATGAAAATCTTTGTTCCCTGTGATTGGTTTCTCTTTACTTGGATTAACGCTGCTGAAATTTAAGCTTTCTGTAAATTAATAAGCATTCTTGTGTTTTTGGTGGCTGTGAATTTGAACTTGATTGCTCATTATTAATTGGTATTGTGGGTTTATAATCAAATGTATTAACAATGGGAAAATTTAATAGTTCCTGCCCTTAAGTTGTTCGATGAAATGTCTGGGAGGTTTGTAGTATCACAAAATCTGTCAATGAATCAAGAATCACTTAATGTTATTATTGTGTCCGTTGATACTGGTTCATGAATGTTGACATTTTAAAAAAAAAAAAAAAAATGTCTAGATGATGGCATTCATTTAAATGATATTAATGGGTGATTTAGAGTTTTAGTAATGAGAGATGATGTTCAACTTGCTTAATTAAGGCTGTTCAGGTAAAAGATAGCGTGGTCTTTTTTTTTTTTTTTTTTTTTGTGAGTTTTAAAATTTTCAGTTTGGCGGTTATATACTGTTGAATTGTGCATTTAGTTCCAGTTATTATTATATTTTTACGGGTTGCTACTCACTTTTGCAGGTATTATCAGATTTTATAAATTTTTACAGAAAATTAAGGTACAACCCGTAGAGTTTTGGCATTTGGTAATTTGTTGAGAGTAAGGGATGCTGAGATTCTCTCAACGATGTCCTCTTCTCTTTGCAGACCAACACACAACAACATCAGCTAGACCCTTCAAATCACTAGAGTTTTTCAGCTCCATTGCTGCAAAAGAAACTCAACAACTCTCCAAACAAGTATCAGATTTACTTAGACAAAACAATTGGCAAACACTCATCGCCAATTTACACATTCCCAATAAGCTAAACCCAGATGTGGTTCGCTCTGTTATTCTTCAAAATGAAGTTGGTGACCTCAAACGCCTCTTGGATTTCTTCTACTGGTCAAAATCTCAAACGGGTATCCCACATTTTTTGGATTCTTTCTCCATTCTTGCTATTAGGCTTTGCAACTCCAATCTTTTTGGACCGGCCAATGGTGTGTTGAATAATATGATAAAAACTCGTGAGTCTTGTTCTTCGATTTTTAATTCAATTATTTGTTGCTATAGGAATAGTAGAGGCTCTAATCCGATAGTGTTTGATATATTGATTGATAGTTATAGGAAGATGGGTATGCTAGTTGAGGCCGTGGATACATTTTTGGGTGTTAAAAGTGGTCATATCTTGCCAAGTTTGAGGTGTTGTAATACTTTGTTGAGTGATTTGTTGAAGGGTAATATGATACAGTTATTTTGGAAGGTTTATAATGGAATGTTGGTTGCCAAGATGGATTTTGATTTGTATACATATACGAATTTGGCTAATGCACTTTGTAAGGTTGGGGATTTGAATGGAGCAAAAAAGGTGCTTACTCAGATGGATGAAAAGGGATGTAGTCCTAGTCTTTTTATCTACAATGTTTTGATTGAAGGTACATGCCATGTTGGAGATTTTGATGGTGCATTTCAGCTGAAAAATTCTATGGTTGAGAAGGGATTGGTTCCTGATGCCTATACTTACAATGTGATTATTCATGGCCTTTGCAAAGGGAAGAAACTAAAAGATGCAAAATTGGTGATGGAGGAGATGACTGAAATGGGTTTGAAGCCTCATTATTCCATGTATTCAGCTTTGATTGATGGGTTAATGAGGGAAGGCTCTATAGATGAGGTTTTCAGATTGAAGGATGAGGTGATTTCCAGTGGCATGGAGCTAAATTTGGCTGCCGATAATGCGATTATTCATGGTTTTTGTAAGTATGGAGAGATTGGGAAGGCAGTCGAGATTGTGCATGAGATGACAAGAATGGGCTGCAAACCCAACTCTCAAACTTATTGTTGTTTGATAGAAGGATATTGCCGGGAACATAATACAGGCAGGGTGTTTGAGTTGCTTAATGAAATGGAAAGAAGGAACTTGGTGCCCTCCGAGGGGACTTACTGCACAATTATTAATGAGTTATGCCATTCTAAGGATCTCTCAAGGGCCAGTGACCTTTTGAGGAAGATGTTTGCTGGTGGATTAAAACCTGGTGTTGCTATCTGTAGAACTCTCATTATGTGTTATACTCGTGAAGGTAAGGCTGAGGAGGCAAAATAGATTATAAAGGAGATGAATGATTAAGGAATTCTACCTGATATATTTTGTTATAACCCTATCTTAACATGCCTCAGCAAAGCTGGAAAAATTGAAGAAGCAGAGGCTTGTTTTTTGGAAATTTTGGAGAGGGGTTTAACCCCAGATGCTGTTACTTATAAGGCTTTGATCTGTGTGTACAGTATGAAAGGCAAGATGCAGGAGGCAACAAAGTATTTTAATGTGATGCTCGATTGTGGTTTCAAGCCAAACAATCTTGTTTTCACTGTTTTGATTGATGGACACTTCAAAGCAGGTAACTTGATGGAAGCGTTTGCAGCATTCCAATGCATACTTGGGCTGGCAGTGCTTCCAGATTTGCGAACTTACAGTGTCTTTATAAATGGTCTTTGTAAGAATGGGAAAACCAAAGAGGCCATTCCGGTCCTCTTGGAAATGGAAGAAAAGGGTTTGGTTCCTGACGTTGTCACCTACAGCTCTGTCATCTCAGGATTCTGTAAACAGGCTGAGATTGAGAAGGCCATTCAACTTTATGATGAGATGTGTTCTAAAGGTATTGATCCAAATATTTATATCTTTAACTCACTAATTGATGGACTGTGCAAGCTGGGAGATATGCAGAGAGCGAGAAAATTGTTTGATGGTATTCAAGAAAAGGGATTGGCACCTGATAATGTAACTTACTCAACAATGATAGATGGATACTGCAAAGCTGGGGATTTGGCTGAGGGTTTCAATTTTTTTAGTGTGATGCAATCAAAAGGGGTTGAACCACATAGTTTTGTGTACAATGCCCTTCTGTATGGGTGTTGCAAGGAAGAAGATATGGAGAAGGCGTTGAATTTGTTACATGAAATGGTGCAGAAAGGTTTTGCTACTACAGTCTCTTATAATATTTTAATTGATGGGTTTTGTAAGTTATGGAACCTGCAAGAAGCCAACTGTTTGTTACAGGAAATGATAGAAAAGCAGATTTTACCAGATCATGTGACTTTCACAACTGTGATTGATTATCTTTGTAAGACAGGGAAGATGGAGGAAGCATACCATCTTTTCTTGGAGATGCAGGAGAGGAATGTGATGCCTGATGTAGTAACTTACACTTCACTTTTGTATGGTTACCACAAATTAGGGAAAACATCTGAGGTTTTCGCATTATATGAGAGTATGGTGGCAAGGGGTGTCAAGCCAGATGCAATAACTTATGAGATACTTATTGATGTTCACTGCAAGAAAGATAACTTGATTGAAGCTTTCAAGTTGCAGGAGGAACTCTTGGGGAAGGGTTTGCTTTCTAAGGGAACTGCTTATGATTCACTGATAGATGCTGTTTGCAAGAAGGGAGATCTTTCCAAAGCTGTAGGGCTGCTTGACGAAATGAGACAGCAAGGGATTAAGCCCAGTTTTGGTACATGTAGTACCGTAGTCTGTGGTTTACATGAAGGAGGCAAAATAGATGAAGCTACAGGGGTACTTGGGAATTTGAAAAATCATGGATGGGTTTCAGATGATACTAGTTTGAGTGAATTAGTGACTAGGCATCCAATTGATCAGAATGCTGTGGATACTAGCATAAATAATGCATCACTTGGGAGCGACCTTGGTTGAGAACTGCAGAGGGAAACCACAAACGTTTTGCAATTCTGTTCATAGTTGCTCTGCACCCCCATAAAAGTAAACCATTAATTGATTGAGGTCAGACAAAACTAGTGGACTTTGAATATCAAGGGATCAGCTTTTTAATGGGACAGTGCTTCATGCATAAGCTGAAGCTTTGCATTTTGCATCTGACATGCTGCATCCACACTGTTTGCCATCTTATGTTAGATATTCCAAATATAAATATTATGTTTGAGGTTAGCACAGGTAACGAAATCTAATTTCACTCTAATCTTACATTATTATTGGATTAGTGGCTCTCCTTTGGGAGCTAAAAATTTGTTTCCTCTTGCAGTTATCAACTGGCTAGGCCAGCTAAAGTACCTACACCGGTACTCATTGTAGCCGGAAGTGGAGAATCACAAGCTCTGCAGATCTTCGCATTGTGTCAAAGGTGATAGTATTTGAATTTTATTGAGGTATATCTGTAATTCTACATCGTAGTCACAGTTACCGTACAGATGGTCTATACCTTTTATCTCTTTGGTGATGCCAAATAAAACTTCTCACCCAACAACATGTGGTTTATATTGAGAAACAGATGCTATTCATGAGAGCATAAAATTTTTTGCTTTTGCTTTAAGCTATTATCAAGGTTGATGTTCTCATTTTATTTGAGTACAACATTGGTTCATCTCATCATGGAATAAGTTTTGGTAATAAATGATTTTGTGAACTATATATAGATTATATATAGATATAGAATATAGATATATATATCAAAAGAGGACTTTTAAGCCTTCTACTTGTCATGGGTGCTTATATTGCTTAATCATATAGGTCGTGAACCTTCAGGCCATGACTCGAACCAGAAGCTACAAGAAAATAAGCAGCTGCACAACTAAATAGCGCTCCCCTAGCCCAATGTGCGATTTTGTGGATGCAGCCTGTGCAGAGTTCTTTAGCATACTTACGACACCAAATGCACTGGACCACTCTGAACTGTTTTGGCCTGCGCATTCTTTGGCATGTGAACATGAACCTCTCTCGTGTTATCAGCCTTAATCATTAGTATTTCGATTTCCTTTCAACTTAGTTCTATTTCTAATTTATATTGCTTAATCATATAGGTCGCAAACCTTCAGGCCATGACTCGAACCAGAAGAAAATAAGCAGCTGCAGAACTAATAGCACTCCCCTAGCCCAATGTGCAGTTTTGTGGGTTTAGCACTGTGCAGGGTTTTTTAGCATACTTACGACACCAAATGCACTGGACGACTCTGAACTATTATGGGTGGTGCATTCTTCAGCATGTGAAATGAGCCTCTCTCGTGTTATCAGCCTCAAGAACCCCAAGTAATTGACCGATTTCTGACCATTTACTGTACAAATTACCATGCATTCCTACACATTCTATCTTTAGAATATCATATGATTGAATTTTCGTTGGTGCTGATCATACTTTATATTTGATTAGTACCCATTTTTCCTGCCTGTCGAACCCAGTTATCGAGTTGATTATTGAGAATATTCACATATGTATCAAACCGCATTAACCACGGTTAAGAAGAAGATCTAGAATGCCTGAACCCTACTGGTTCTCAATCAAAAAATCTAGAATGCCCATCGGGTCTGTTTGTTTTACTTTTTTTTTCCTGTCTCATAAAATATATACTTAGTTTCTTATTCTCAAAATCCAATCCTAAATTATTTAACTAGTTTAAACTCCTTAAGTTTATTAATTTAACTAAACACCCCCACCAAAAAAAGTTTATAAATTAACAAAAACACCTCTACTCACTCACATTTGCTTGACCCTAGCCACCACCGTCAGAAGGTAGTCAGAATCTATCGTCATAACAGACTATCGATTGGATATGTCGATAGTGCATCGATCTAACTTTTTTCGATCAGATTCACCATGAATCTAGTAAAAAAAAGTCAGATCTTTAACCACATCTAGTCGTCAACAACGGTCATATCTTTGGTCGTCGTTGACAACTAGATCTAGCTTTTTCTGTCTAAATACTTTGGTCGTTGTTGACTACTAGATGTGACATTTTTCAGCTAGATCTATAATGAATTTGATCGAAAAAAGTCATATTGTATGATCGATCATATTCAACTGGTTGTGTACCATAGATTTCAGTCACCTTCTAATGGTGCAGTCGAAATCTAGTATATGTAGATAAGTACGTGTGTTTTTATTAATTTCAAATTTTTTATTATAAAAGTATTTACTGTTTAGTTAAATTCACGAACCAAGGGTGTTTGTAAATTAACAAACCTATATGTGTTTTTAATTAATTTTCAAATAATAATAATAACTCAACTCATCAACTTTCTCCAAAATTTTATTCAAAATAATAAATACATCGATTTTTTTTTTTTTTTTTTTTTTGGAATCCAAACTACATAATATTATTAAATGCTTAATTACATACATCAAACTGATAAAATTACATGAATCATTTGCATTTTTCTTTGATACAGGCAAGGGATAGAAATCAAAAAACAAATTCCCTGACCAACCTCAAAATCAAAATCAAAACCTTAATAAAGAAACCATACAAACAAAGCTTTCGATTCTTCTGTGCATATAATTTATACGAAACAAAAGGTAAAACCCAAATCCACAATCCCAAAACTAATATCGTTTCCCAAGAATTACGCCAATGATCACAGACACCAGGGCGACTCCGATGATGAACTTGATTTTTGTGGCAGCAGAAACATCGTGACCGTGAGTATGTGTTTCCAAGGAGGAGGAAGAAGTTTGAGCAGCTGCTGCTGCTGCTTCTAACTTTTTCTTGCTTTTTCGTTTTGTAGGTGTCGAAAGAGTCGATCCGATGTCTCTGGATCTCACCTCTGTTACTTCCTTCAATTCTGTCGGACTGTCCACTTCGCTCTGCAACATTATTTAAACATTAGATACGATACATCTAGATATAGATTGTTGTAAAAGAAATACTCTCAAATTATCCATTTGTTTTTTGTTTCTTAAAAGCGATTTGTTGAGTTAGAGTATAAACTGACCTTCAGTTTAGCTTGCAATTTCTGCTCAAGCTCTTTCACTTGCTTGTCTAGAGTTTCAACTTCTTTGTTCTTAGCTTCGAGCTCCTCAAGGGAATGCTTCAGGGCCGCTTCTCGTTCACTTTCTTTATGAGAATCTGCCGCTTTCTGTTAGGTTGGAAACATGAACTAAATCAGTTAATGGTCGATCATTCATTACACACGTATTATGAGTTTCCTCTTAGTAGATTAAGATCAGCTAATTATTTAACCATAATAGCAAAATCAAAATAAAAGTAGATAATTTTGTAGCCATGTCTAAGTTTAACCTGCTCGGCAACCACTGTCTGGGCAAGTTGTAACTCTTTCTGTAGTTGCAGCACTTGTTCATTTAATACATCTCTATCACTGACTTTATGTGCATGATCCTCCAATTTCAAATTAAGTTCTGCCTCTCTTCCAGCAGCTCCTGCTTTAACGTTTTCAACCTACAAAGTTCATGAAAGTCCGAATTAAATCATCCGAGTTTCTGTTCATATACACAAAATAAAATTTCAAGTTTAATTGGATATCGGAAACTTTTTTCTGGAGTTAGTAATACCTCTTCTTTTAATTTAGTTTCAACTGTCACCAACTGCTCTTCAACTTCCCTGAGACGATTTTCCAACTCCGACTTCCCAGCAGCCTCAGACTTGAGACTTTCAATCTCGGACTTTAAAGTGACTTCGATTGCCTTCTGTTGTTGCAGTTGTCCTTCAAGCTGTGATATCAGAGACTGAAGTTCCGTCTTAGCGTTTTGATATGTTTCATTAAGCAGGTTGTTTTCTTCCATGACTGAAGAAATCTGCAGGAAGACAATACATCATTTCAGAATATTATGTGAAAAATACGTTACCGAATTGTTATTTATCAGAATATATCACTCGCACAAACCTGAGATTGCAGTCTTTGAATTTCAGAAGTTAGCTGCTGTTTTAAATCCTTCTTTGATGCATTAATCTGTTCAATAGTTTCATCCTTCTCCACAAGGGTTGCAGAAAAGTTTGCTTGTAAATCACTGAGTTTGGTCTCATACGTAGCCAGATCCTGAGTTAGTTTCAGATTTGCCTCAGCCAATCCTCCACTCTCTCTTTCAAAGTGACCTGACCTGGTTTGCAGCTCCTCAACAATACTTTCCAGATTTTTCAACTTCAAGACAGTCTCTTCCAGCTCAATTTTCCGAGTTTCAGCAATCATTGATGCCTCTTGAGCCTGTTCTTCATATATTTTTATTTGGCCTTCAAGCACATTTATCTTGTCATTCAAGTCATTGGCTTCTGTATCTCTCTGAGTAAATCTTTGAATAGCCTCATGCAATTGACTTTCTGCTTCTTTGATGCGAGCTTCAGTTATAGAATGAAGTTCTGATGCCCTTGAGTGCTGATCTGTTAACTCTGTAATAGTGTTCATATGAGAAGAAAGTTGTCGGGCAGTGACTTCCTTTTCAGAGATTGCAGAATTTAATAATTCCTGAAGTTCGGCAACCTTGCTTTTGAGCTGATTGTTTGTCTCAACTAAAAGTTCATTCTCTGAGGAAGAGATGGAAGCTCTATTTCCTGTTTCTGCTACTTGCCTTTCAAGTTCTACTTTTGCACTCTCTAAAGAAACTAGCTTAGATAAGCATGTATCCAACTCCTCCTTCAATGATGCAGATTTTCCAGCTTCTTCGGCTACCTGCTGTTCATAAATCTTCACTTGATCTTCAAGAAGCTTCAGTTTCTCGATCAAAGAATTTGCCTCAGAGTCCCTGATGCTGAAGTTTGCTAATGCTTCTTGTAGTTTAAGCTCTGACTCTGTTGTCAGGGATGTGTGTACTGATTCAAGCTCTGAGTTTCTGGCAGTAGCTTCCTCTAACACCTTACCTTGGTGCGCCAGTTGCTCTTCAGCAGATTTAAGTTTCTCCATTACCTCACTTTCTCTCAATCCAGCAGCAGTAAGATCATTCTCGATGCTTTCCAGCCTATTTTGTGTCAGACTTAATTCATTCCTCAAGACTTCCAATAGATTTTCAGCTTCAGCAAGCTTTTCGCTGTAGCCATTCGATGAGTCTTCTAACTTTTTCTTCTCATCTGTTGCAACATTCAGGGATTCTGTCAACTCCCTCTCCTTATCATTTGCCATTTGCAGCGCAACTTCTAAGCTTGATGCTTTTGCCTGGAACGCCTCATACTCTGATGCCAGTTGAGATACATGATCACATTGTTTCTTGGATTCTGCTTCTTTGTCCTCACATTTCTTCTCTAATGTGCTTATTTGCTCTTCAAGTTCCTGAATCCTATACTTCTCCGCTTCTAGCAACAGCTCCAACTCATTCGCTTTCTTGCCAGCCTCCTCTACTTTGGAATGGGATGTCTGGAACAAATCTTCTAGTTCAGTGCTGCGCTGATGACTCATGTTGGCTCTGTCCTCGTGTTCAGCACTTCTCTCCTTGGCAATCTTCAACTCCTCCTCAAGCTCTGAATTCCGTGAGAATGACTGGTTTAGGGTTGATTCCAGCTGGGTTATCTTTTCCTGGTAATCTTGCATTTGGTCACCCAGTAGTTTCTTTTCTTCCTCGACTGCTTTTAATGCAGCACTGAGTTCAGAGATTTTCTCAGAAAATTCTCTCACTTCTCTCTCAGTGTCGCTGCTTTTAAGTTCAACTAAATTTAACTGTTGCTCAAGTTCCACATTCCTTTGTTCTGCTGCTATAAAGCGTGTCTCAAGCTCTCTCAATTGTGATTTTGCCTCTTCAGCTGCTTCATTTGAAGCTTGGATTACATCCTCAAGCTCAAGATTCTTTTGAGTAGCAGTTGCTGCTGCAGCTTCCGACTCATTATGGAGGTCCTCTAGAGACTTCAACTTCTGCTCAAGCTCTGCATTATTAGACAAAGCTTGAGACAAAAGAGAATCTGTTTTACTGAAATTCTCATCTGAAACCTTCAATTTTTTCTCAAGTTCACTGCACAACTCCTTCGTGATTGCTAAATTACTGGTAAGATCAGCCATGGCTGCTTCAAGTGCTTCCTTCTCTTCAGTTACTTTAGCCAGATTTTCCTGTACAGTTGAGATCTGTGCTTCCTGGGCTTTGAAACCAGCTTCAACTGATTCCCTTGTATTGACTTCGACTTGTAGCTTCAACTTGATATCTTCCAACTCAGAAATCTTTGCTTGAAGGTCTTCCTTAGACAAGGCGAGCAGATCATTGACAGCAGAGATTTCTTCTTTCACCTGTGATTCTGATGCCTTTTTGAGTTCCAACTCCTGAGTCAGTTCACTTACAAGAGCTTCATTTGAAGAAAGTCTTTGTTCCAAGTCCAGCACTTGTGATTTTGAAAGTGCTAAACCTTCTTGAACTGCAAAAAGATCTGCTTTGGTGCTCGTTAGTTCTTCTTCTACTTTCTGACTCTCAGCAATCTTCTCATACAGGCCCTTGAGTTCTTCTTGTAGTGTAGCCATCCGACCTTCCATTTCTTTTGTACTTGCATTCGCCACTTCAAGCAACCTCTCAAACTCCGAGGCCCGCTGTGTCTCAGATTCTGCATGTGAACCACTTTGTTTGTGCAGTTTCTCAAACTTCCGAGCTTCTCCAATAGAGGTTTGCAGCTTATCCTCCAAGTCTTGCATTCTCTTTCTTGATCCGTCCAGCTCAAGGTTTAGACCATCAAATGCTTCTTTCACTTCTATCAGTTCCTTGTGCTTTGCTTCTTGAGCTTGCAAAGTTTTTTGCAAAGCATTGAGCTTTGAACTGTAGTTCTCCTCGGCTTCAACAATCTGCTCTTGCAATTTCTTGTGACTGCGTTCAAGCTCCTCGTCTTTCTTCCCACTTTCTTCCAACTTTTCTTTTGTAAGTAAAACCTCGTCCTTCAGTGTCGTATTCTCAGATTCTGAATGCTTCAATGCAGCAGCAACTCTTTCCAGTTCAAGCTCAAGTTCTTTCATCTTCTCTTGGGCTTCCAGTAATTCTCTGCTGGAACCACTTGAGCTTCTTTGAACAACGGATGGCTTGTCATCATTTGCAGATGTTGTATCCGCTACATGAGAAACATCCTTCACATCCAAAGATTCCTTCTCCACCTTTATAAATTCACCATCAAAGGTATTTTCCTCCTCTTCTTTCTTCCCTTCTTTTCCAACATTTGGCATGTCTCCGTTTATTACCTGTGAGAGTTTCAAAATCAATGATCTATGCTATCGAACATGAATATCCTGAATGTTTATTTTCTAGGTGGTATAAGTTGGTTCGAACAAATTCATTTGCACTTTATGTGTCAATTGTTGTGACATAAATCATCACCAAATCTCTATATGTTCATGTTTAAGTATTGAATCATGATCAGAGATACAAATGCCATGACCTTTATCCTCCCTTCCCTCGGTTGTATTGTAAGGTCTTATAAATTTTTGGCTTTAAGGTCTTACACAAATTTTATTTATCATATTGTTTCTGTTTCTGTTGTTATGTTATTCTATTATTAACTTCAACTCATTCAGTTCTCTGTTATGAGTTTTGGCAGTTTTATTCTTGTTAACTAACCATTCGGGGATTTTTGTCTCTTATACCCATTTCACCTAACAATCTTTCGTTGCAATGTAACCACAAAAAAGCATCCATGTAAAAGTACAGAAATAAAAGGAATATGTGTTTACCTTAACTGGAACAGCAACGTCCTCAACTGACTTTATCACTGGGATTTCTGAACTCACTTGTGTCTCTTCTTCCATGTTAAAGCCAAACTGCAGCTACCTGGACTTTTCTCTCTGCAAATTTCACAAATTGATAGTGTTACTTCACAGTAATGCAAAGCTAAATTTGGTAAAAATTTCTAAATATCTATGGGCTTATGGTAACTCTCTTAGGTTTGGTTAGTGTATTAATACCCATCCTTGCAAAGAGATTTTCAGTATATTTTACAAGAAATTTTGGTAAACATTTGCTACAAAAATTAAGAAAACAAAAAAATGAATTATGATTAAGATTTAAGAGTAGAGTAAATAATTTGGTAGCATGATTTCACTTTGGATTGTGTGCCGAGGATGACAATGGCATCTTAGTGTTGTTGGTAGGCGTCAAAATTTATAATTCATAACAGCCTGTTTTATTTTGTCCTATACCTTTTTACCTGACGTGGAAAATTTAGGCTTCTTTTCTAGCCTTGATTCGCTTTTTCGATCAAACTCTAAAAGCCTAGTAGCGTACCAATATGTTCTTCAAAATTAAATTTAAGGAATATTTATAGTTTATTCCATCTTTTGCCATCGGTCCTTAGCATTACGTTACGTGTAAGATTCAGCTTTTCTCTCATGGTTCATATAATTGAAAAATGAAATTTGGCAATACTCGATTCGGCACCTTGACTAAATTTATGTGGGAACCAATAAGTCATTTCGGGCCTAGATATTTTATAGTACAGAGCCAGGTAACTTGTACCAGATCGATGTGTTTATAACTTTATATATAACTTTTCGTAAAGAATTATAAGAAAATACAATTGAAACCATATACCAATGGACACATCATGAATGAAGATTATAAAAGATCAACAAAACCCAAATCACTTTTATGTTATTTATTTTAAAAAATAAAAATTGTAAAGGAATTATAGGAAAATACTTGAAAACTGTTTTGACTTATAAAATCCAAAACCACATGTGATTGGGCATGTGCACCCACTTGAGTTGGCAGATCACAATAACTGCCACCATAAAAACAATAAATTCACATATCACCTTTATCATATAGAAAGGTTAAACATATTTCAAAAATTACCATCATAAAACAATAAAACCGATAATAAATGTCATATTTATAACAAATGAAACGTTAAGCTGAAATTGTAACCGAGAGTTTATATTTCCATGTCATAAATGATTTTCAAAAGAAAAATAATAGCATCAGTTTGGCGGTGCAGGACCTACAAATGCTAATATTGAGAGACAAATAATGAAACGAGATTTAATAAGATCAAAGTTTGCTTTTGATTGTGCAAATACACCAAAAAGAAAGCACGGAGATTGGAGCCCACTAAAGTAGTAGTAGGCAGCCAATCTATTTAGCTTAATTTTTGTTCTTTAATCTTTATTTCAACTGCAAAATTAAAGCGCTTGACAGCTCAATCTTATAGCTATCAGCCCTTTATTTTTTCCATGCCAACCTAATTTATAATGCGTTTAAGAGTAAAGTATGCAATAAAGAATTTCTTATAAAAATAGAAATTGAAAGCTATTTTCATTGAAATTCATGATTTTAGCCTAAATTACAAGCAGTCCAAAGACAGTATTAATATATGGCATAATTATTTAAAAAAAAGATGAAAAGTAAAAGAGGTTAAATTTTTGTTTATGAAATTTTGATTCCATTAAGGTGATGCGTTACTTTCAGAGGTTTTATGCAGTCAAAAAGTGATGAAAAGAATCGGAAACAAACAAAGATCGCATTACTTTTCTTCAAAAGCAAACAAATTATACGGTGAATTTAATCAAATCAAATTAAATTAAAGATCATAAATCAGTGTCCAGTTCACTCAAAGTGAGAGTGAAAGAGCAGATGAACTCGGATTCTAATCAGTAAAAGAACTCGGATGGAGCTGGTTTCAATAAGAATCGATTCGAAAGAAAGATCAAAAACAGAAACAGCGGCAACAGTTTCAAAAAACATATAGAGAAGAAGCTAGTAGAAGAGTAAGAACATTTACATGATAAATTTACATCAAAATTCAAACACAGCCGATTCAAAACAGTTGATCATATAAATCCAGAAGCAGTAATCACCGTAAACAAACAAAGATCACAACACAAAAACAAAAACAGAGGCAACAGTTTCATAGAACAAGTAAAAACAGAGTAAGAAGATGATCGCATAAATCCAGTAAACAAAGATCACAACAAAAACACAAAAAACAGGAACAGAGGCAACAGTTCGTGAAACAAGAAGCAAGAAATAGGTAAAAGATAATGATACTAATCATCATTTTCATACATTCATTCACCAAACTGAATCAAATGAAATAATAATAATAAAAGGAGAGTTGAGAGTTCAGAGCTGAGAGATTGCTTGCCTGAATGGAAAGTTGAATTGCTTTGCGTTTAAGAAGCGTTTAGATTGTGATTATTTTTTTTTTTTTTTTAAATAATAAGAGATTTAGTTTGTTGAGGAGGAAGGGAAAGAGAAATTGAGAGAGAGAGGAGAGGGAGAAATGGTGGTTTATAAAGTAGCTCAAGAAATGAAGTAAGGCTCCACTTAGTAGTGGTGTCAGGTGTGGGGTCTATTCAATACCCAATCACACAATGGGAGCCTCCCAACGCAGCCGTTTTCCTTTTCTATTTCCACTTTTGCCCCTCCATTTGTTTTTAACTACTTCCTTGCCATCTTATACAAAATTAATTATATAAATATACGGAAATTCTCTTAAGTCCATGTTCTGATCACATTGCCGCCCACCGGTTGCCGTCCTCCGTATATCAGTTTTGATTTTACGATGGTAATTTACAATTTCATATTAATGGAGTTGTCCACGTTAGTTTTTGCAATCTAGAAAACGACCATTATTTCATTAAATTTAAGGATGATGATATAATTAAGAATTAAGAATAAGATTTAAGAAGCATAACTAACGGTTTAAAATAATAAATCAATGGTTTCTTTATAAACGATTTAAATAAATAAACACTTAAAACTTGAAAATGACCAAAATTATGATTTTGGTTTCTTTTATATTAAATTTTTTTTACAAAATACTTAAATATCCAACATATTTTCAATAACTTTTAGATCTTAAATATGAAAAACATGATTCAAAAATCGTACCGAACGGTACCTAAAATCGGAAAATACATTTATCTTGTGAATGCAAAACTAAGTTCAAAATATTCCCATTCACATTATCATATTTATTATTTTCTGCATTTAACATGCATGTTCCCTGATTTTGTGCATATTTAAATTACCTAATTAACAAGGCTTAAAATTATGCAAATTAATAAGCTTAATACAATTAAATTTAATTAAAATAACCACTTGGGTTGTGATCGGATGACAAAATTGTGAAATATTCAGAGGTCTTGTATTTAAGTCACACAAGGTAATTAATCACCTATTATATTTGTGACTTATTTAATTCATTGGATTTGTCCGAGTATTCAATGAACCCGAACACCCTTGTTATAAAAGATAATAATAATAAATAAATAAATAATTAAAATTAAATCTAAAACGGTAAGCATGACTTCACATGACATTTCAATTGACGGCAGAAGCTTACAAAAAATTAATTTGGCTAGCATCTAGCGGTAAAGTGACGATGGAGGTGAAATAACATGGTGATTACAGTTCATACATATAATATATAGTAAGACACAATTATAATACAAATATAATTGCAATATTAAGACACAATTATGTCACATTTAAAAAAATTAAATTAAATATATCTCTAATACCATCAAAACCATTTTTAACGATAATGAAGGTCATTATTATAATTATTATTATTATTTTAATACTTTGTTCTAAAGAATGTTTAATCGGATCCAACATAATCAACTCAAATCAAAATTAAAATCTTAGATCTGATCTAAACATGTGTACATTTTCTCCTCTAATTATTTATTAGTACAATTATATTTTTTTTTTTTTTTAATAATTATGAAATTAGAAAGAAAAAAGAGGGCAAAATAATAATTGAACAAAGATAAGAAAATGAAAGCTTTATGGTCTCAAAGGTGGCGGCCACCAGCGACCGACCAAACCGCCCTCCTATGCGACTCTGTTTTCTCTTCTTCGCCTGATTATGACTTTTCCTCTTCCCTTTTTAGTATTATGTCAAATTTTAATTAATTTGCTTTTAGACCTAAAATTCGAACCTAAAATATAAACAAAAATATTCGCTTTGACTTATTTAGAATAAAATTATGTTAACAACATTTCTTACAATTTCTTTCATAAACTCTGACGTGATAGTCGTAATTGGTCATTTGGGTGCGTTTGGTTCATTATTTTGGATAGGATTTTGGTTCGATATGGTCTTTTTCGGCCAGATCTACAGCCGAATGTGGCCGTCACGGCCGCAAAGGTCCTTCTTTGGCCGTCGTTGCGGCTAGACTGATGAATAACCTGCAGTTTCAGTCGTAGTGTAAGCGTTGTGACAGATTTCGGCTACCACCGACGGTAGTTTCCAGAATCTGGCAAGTATGGGTGGGTGGGGGGTGTTTTTGCTAATTTTTAAACTTTTTTTGGGATATTAGTGAAATTAATAAACTTAAGAGGTCTAAAAGTAATTAAAAAATACACTAATATTTCTGGAATAATGTGTCAAACAATATTTGGAGAATAGGATTGAGAATATTGATAGAATAATGAACCAAACACACCCAAATATCGATTTTGATCTCCTTGGAACGTGTGACATTCTCATTGTTTTTATTAGCTGGTTATATGTGCGATGGATGAGCGGCAAACTCATTTTTTTTTCTTAATGGAGAGGGCTGTGAGTAGGATATAGAATATAAAATTGAGGAAATTTAAGGACCAAATACAGAGATGTAAAAAATATGGCAACTCTTGTATGCAAATTGAAAAAAGAGAATGTATTGACTTATTATATTACTTTATAAAATAATAATCGCGGCGCCGGCCAACAAGCATTTGAAAATTGACTGGTAGTTTTAGACTACAATAATCATAATCAAAATCAAAGGACCCTCCTTATTTGTCAACCATCAAAATCATAATTAGTAGCCACCAACAAATTGAGTTAGGTTATATATATTAATCAAATCTACGGTCTCAAATTCAAATCTTCCTAACTTTCAAAATTTAAGTGAAGGTTGTGATAATGGGTGTTACGCGAGTCTTTTCTGAGAATTAGTCCAATGTGTTTAAGTTTGTCTGAACACCTTCATTATACTCACACACACCAAAAAAAAAATAAAAGCATCTAGATGATTTGAAAACTTTATAAAATATTTTTATTGTATTATTATTGCTTTCAAAAACAATAAGACATAATAATTATATATATATATTCCAATACAAGTGAAAGGTGTGATTGACCTCATAGCGGATCTAGAAATATTTGTTAGAATGGGTCAAAATAAAATGTAATAACATATAATATTCATATCCTATGTTTTTAGTTTAAATTGACATAAAAAGAAAAAAAATAAAATAAATATTTTTTTTAAATCATGGTCCACCCTCAATGTACTCTAGATCCGCCCCTGATTGACCTTACGGATAGATAAATGCTATCCCTATCATGGTGTTTATGTCTTTCATTGGGAGTTATATGATAAATAATTTTGAATGAATGAATCTTCTGAAAGCTTTTAAAAAGATTCCTTTAGTATATTTCTGGGTCTAAACATGAATTAGGCCTATAAGTGTGGATTTGGACAGAACATAACATTCGGATAAGTCTAGGTTTAAGGTTCGGTTTGTGTGTAAAAGGCATGATTCAACCAACTTGTCATCATCCTTATAAAATTCAAATTCCTTTATGATAGTCAAATGACTCATCCTGACTCAAATTGTTGCCGGCGTATAATATTAAAATTTCTTATAATCAAACTTTTGAGAAAAGTTTGATTTTATACTTTAAATTAACAAATAAGCTGCCTAATTATTTGAACACCTCAAACTTTCAATAGGACAACCTATAGTTTCCATACATTATCAATAAAAAAACAAAAAAAAAAAAAAAAAAAAAAGGAAATGTCACTATACTTATGTGGGCCAGAATCTGGGCTTGGCTGGGCTGAAGTTGGCCCAATTTGATATTCCAAATCAGTGAGTCCGTTTGGTTTATTATTTTGGATAGAATTTTGAAAATAATATTGGATAGTTGAATATGGTGATTATTACGAGGTAAAATTTAAAAATTAATAAAAAAAAACTCATTGGTTTGCTAATTTAACTAAACACCCCAATATATAAAAATTTTGTAAAATAATCAAAACACCCCCACCCACCCACAGTGCCAAATCCTAGCCACCACCACCGGAATCTGGTCAGAATCTGACGTTATGACGCATACCATTCGGATCTAGCCGAACGTTCGTCAATCTGACCTTTTCCGGCCAAATCCAGAATATGGCCGAACGTGCGTCAATCTGGCTGTCAACAACCGCAAAAAGCTAGATCGTTGACGGCCAAAGATATGGTCATCGTTGTCGGTCAACGATGACCCTTTTTTTACAGGCTAGTTCCGATCGTTTGTAGGCTGTTGTGACAGATTCCGACTACCACCAACAGTGGTTGCCGGAATCTGGCAACTATGGGTGGGTGGGGGTGTTTTTATTAATTTTTAAACTTTTTTCTAGGGGTATTTAATGAAATTAATAAACTTAAGGGGTCTAAAATAATTAAAAAAATATAATAATATTTCCTAAATAATTAAACAAACAAATATTTTGGGAATAAGATTGGAAATAGGGTATGAAATAATAAACCAAACGCACCCAGTAATGTTACACTCACAAACTCTTTTCATTAACTTTCTCTCATAAACGCGACGTGTCAGTTTGTAATTGGTCAGCTCGCAATAGGTCTCGTCTGTCAAACAATGGGTCCCGTTTATCCAAATATGAACTGTCACATCAACGTTTGTGAGAGAAGTTTGTAAAAAATATTTATCAATCTATCTTTATTCATTCCAAATATGAGCTTTGGGCTCAAAATGGGCCTGAAATTATATATTTTTCGTCCTGTACTAGTATTGAAATGAGTGTCCTTGACGATATACACCGAAACTACAAGGACGAAAATGTGATTCTCTACAACTTTTCCTTATCCATTCAAATTTCAATCTTCATCAATCATGAAACCCATATATATGAAAGCCAAAGCACCAAATTTAACCAAAAAAATAAATAAATAAAGAGAAAAATGGATGGGATTATGCAGATGGGCCTTCCAGTTCTGGGAATTGTAGCAGCTGCAGCTGTAACATTCTATGCAGTAAGCTTTAATGAGATTAGAGAGGTACTTCAATTTCATTGCTTATTCTTCACTTTCTTTCTTCTTTAATCAACTTATTGCTTCTCATTCTTTAGTGGGTTAATTGTTGTGTGTGTAGAAATCTTTTAGAGATTTGGAAGATGAAGAAGATGAAAATGGAGGGTTCAAAACATCTCTGAGCTCTAGGAAAAGGAGGGCCAGAAAGAAAGCTGATAAACAAGCTAAAAATTGACCAACTGGAAGCACTTTTTTTTTTTTGTAAAGGTGCTTTTTGGTTTTCACTTGCTTTCTTGCATATCTTAGACTGTGTTAGCAAAATGCCTTTGCTTTTGCTTTTGTTGAAAATTTATAATATTACAGAGTTTGACATCACAAAAGTACTTCTTTTTATAGTTTCAGTGGCTGCAACTTTTGGGTAAACTCTGGAAGACCTTAATTTCAGTAGGGATTATTATTTCTTGCCTTTGACTGATTAATCGCTTATTAACAGTATTTAACAACATCAAATATAATGAATGAGTTGGGAGAGAGCAAATGGAAACAGTTGAAAGATGTGCTTTATTGAGATAATCCATATGTTTATTAAGTTAACAGACTGAAAACAAAGCTTGATTTACATGAAAGACTACAGATTTTTCATCATAATCAACCATTATCATTTACTTCTGCTGAGATTTGAGTTCCTTCACCCTCTCCTCGGTGGCCTTCAGTGCTTTCCCATATTTGCTTATCAACTGTAAATCAATACAAAAAAGAAGTCAAAACGTTGCATACATATAAACTACGAGGTATAATTTCTGACGGCTTTGAAGAAGCTGTCGAAAACAACCATGTTTAATATTTTATTTCTATATTTGCTATTTCATAAACACAAACTGCATTCAAACATTTTAGACTATTAAGTTTCACATTTGGAGAAGTGGATGATCTTTTGAAAAGCAGTACAAGAAATTAGAAAAGGACTTGTGGTTATGCATGCTCGTGTGAGCACATATATAAACACAGAATTATGTCATTTTCGACTTCGAAATTTCAGAGAAAGGCTATTAAGGCGTCTGTGCAAGAGCAGGAGATTGCTCTTAAAGTAATGAGCAGACAGCAAAAGATTGTATAGTTGTGTAGGGGCTTCAATTTCATACTCTAAGTTTGATTAAACACGTGTCAGAAATTTAAGGGTTATGAACTAGAAAAGTAATGATATTCAAAATCTAATACTGGTCTGTGATTCAAGTAATCATGAAGGAATAAAGGTCGCAACATCACTAGGCAATTTCAGTGAACAGTAAACCCATTCCTAGTTCTGAAGGATCACAAACAAACATCATTCCAATCAAATAGGAAATATATACTCTCTAGTTGAATACTAGCAAAGCAAACAGAAAAAAGGAAAACCCTCTTAAACTGACCTCATCAACCTCTTCCGGAGTTATTATAAATGGAGGAGACATCATTATGTTGTCACCAGCAACACGAACTAACATACCATGCTTTTCGCACTGGGCTCCAAAGTATGCTCCTATGCCTGTAATGCCCATTATCAAGTACTATTATGAGGAAAATAGAGGCGATTCATGCTTCAGTTCTATTCTCACCAATAACTACCCACATACCAAAGAAAAAAGGGACTTACCCCATTCCGGAGGGAATGGATCATTTGGAGACTTGTTGTCTGCAAACTCTGTACCAAGAATCAAGCCAGTTCCCCTTATCTGCAGAATCAGATGAGCGTAACAGTGGTAACTATCTAATTTTAAAACGTCTTTATCAACCAAATAAAGCAAGATACACGAACTACAAAATCTACCTCTCCAATAATAGGACTGTCAGAGAAGGCTTTTATACCATCTTGAAACTTTGGTGCTACGCTATTTACTTGCGCAACAATATTTCTTTCCCTACAAAGATGTAAAACAAGTTTTAGTCACTATAATATTTAATGAGGACTAGTGTAGCAAGAGGATCACAGGAGTTGGTTTTGAACACACCATGAACAAGTTCAATTCCCATCATTCACCCATAAAAACAAAGAAATAAGATCATACGAAGTACAATGTACAGCAGAATGCATAAATTTACATAACTTATATCAAAGGTCCACCAGCCACCAACCACGTTTATGTAGAGTTTAATGTACTGAAAAATGTCCCATTTAATGGGGATTTGCTCATGTAGCTTACTATTGTTGAATATAATTATCCAGTCACCTTAATTGTCTTCTTTCCAGTTAGTCTAAAAGGGTCCAACCAAATTTCAAGATTTGATAGAATGAAATCTGAAGTTTTCCCAAAAGAATACATTTAAAGTTTTTATGCTCTAGAAACTTGACATTGAAATCAATTTTTTTGAATTTTCTAGAGATGGACAGAAAGAAACTCACTTATAAATCTTGAGTGCTTCAATGGCAACAGCGCAGGATACAGGGTGCCCAGAATAAGTAAATCCATGAGAGAAAGTACCTGACATAGAGGAAATTAGAGATATTATCCAAGAACAATGAATTTAGTCAAATTTAGCGAGTATAACTATCATACCAAGTTTGTTGCTTTGAGAGTAAATGACATCTGCAACTTCAGGACTCACAAGGACGGCTCCAATGGGCATATAAGCAGAAGAAAGAGCCTAGAAACATGATATCAGTATAATGCTCAATAACAAATACTGTCTGAGGATATGAGCATCCTATCCGTGCATTTAAATTCTATCCATTTATACCTTTGCTAAAGAAACGAGATCTGGTTTAATATTGTATTTATCACAACCATACATGGTCCCCAGCCTTCCAAATGCACAAATTACCTAGAATATATCATACTGAAGAAAGTGAGGCCAAATTTGAAAATCAACAGTAAAGAACTTTCCCTATAAGTGTTAGACATTCAGTAATACAAAAATAGAAAAGGAAGTACCTCATCTGCAATGAAGAGTATGTCATATTTTTTCACAACAGCTTGAATCTGAATCATAGTTGAAAAGCTTTAATAATTAAAATGAAAGTGAAATAGAGAGAGGTAGGTATTTGTCCACTATTGCACAATAAAACAATAACAATCGAAATGCAGAAGTCGCATGTTGCATTTATGAATAAAGTTGAATTAAGAAAAAATAAGTGCCAACTTTGAAGCACTCATACATTCTTTAACCTAAACACCGAAATATTAAGTACTAACAAACTCCACAGTGCGTCGTGCATGTAAAACATTAATATGGCTACTTTATTCCTAGCAAAGACTACACAAGTTTGTATCAAAACAAGTATTCTGTATCTTTTATGATTAATGAAATGATATGTTTTTATTTTAAACCTACATAAGATATGGCCTGAACCTTTCTGCAAGCTGGCATACACTCATATTTTAATCACATACATTGATATAAGAAAAATAACTACCAATTATTACACAGCATACAGGGTATTTTTTATTCATCTGGCAATCTGAGCCGATGTCTATGTGATAAGTGTTAAAAAAAAGGGCAGTTGACTCTTTGTATGTGAATACGTCAAATTATGAACGTATTCACATTTCATTATGGATAAAAGTGTTCCTCAAATATGTATATATATGAGCAAAACACTAGAGAAACTGGCAACATTGCTTTTCAGCTTTAAAGTCAGAGGTTGAGGGTACCGTTTAGTCAGTATACTACCTTACTAAAAACTCACCTTCTCAAAATAAGTTGCAGGAGGAGGTATCACACCTCCTGCCCCCATGACAGGCTCAGCAATAAATGCGGCTATCTGAAATCAACAACCATATTAAGTTACAAAGTAATCCAACCCTTCAAGTTGTAAAATAACTTTTCAAATACAAGGTACACAATGCTAGCTAGACTTTACCGTCTCTGGTCCCTCTTTGAGGATGAGATCCTCTAAATTTTTGGCTAATCTCGTTGAAAACTCCTCTTCTGTCTCACCTGAAATATAAAGTAGCATGCATAATATTTTGCAACACCATAGCATTAAATTTTAAAAAATCACAACAATAAGAGTGTAAAACCACCTGGAAGATGGTAGCGCCAATAATGAGGACAGTCAGTGTGCAATACAAATGGTGCAGGCAGATCAAATTTTTGGTGCAGAGCCGGAAGGCTGCAATGGTTTTTCCCTTGTTAATAAACTCAATAGTTTTATAAAATAGGTACCACACTTTTAGTAGTAAGTTTTTCTTACCCAGAAAGACTAGCTGCAATCAAAGTTGAACCATGGTACCTGAAACAGAGTCATAGATAGCATAATATACTGATTACCTGGTAACAATACTTAAAGAGGAATATATGAAAATAATATCAAATTAGTGCTGAAATTTACGATTTTGCTCGTGCTATAAATTTCTTCTTATTTGGTCTTCCAAGAGCATTATTGTAATACCAAACCAGCTTCACCTACAATATATAATTCAGTTCACCACCATCATCATCAGTGCTCTTCTCATGAATATTTCAAGGGACAAAGTGGAAGTAAAACAACATGAAGATGAACCTTATTCTGTAACTCCTTAATCCAAGTTCTTATATATCAAGAATTTTATTCAAATGCTGGAAGCAAAAGAGGGTAATAAACCAAGTGCTTAATCAAATAAAGAAAACCTGAGTGTCATTGGCTTCCGATCCACTGTTTGTAAAGAAAGCTTTTGCCATTTTGTTTGCAGTAAAATTATCGAGAAGCTCCTTTGCAAGATCCTGTGAGATAAATGTTGATTCAAATGCCATTAGAAGCAACTTTAAAAAGATGCCGTTTGTATATTTTGAAACAAGAGGAACAACAGTGATCATATTGTGGAGGAAAAGAAAAGATATCTACATATTGTGCAAGATTCAGAATGAGAGGAAATATAGAGACCAAAAAAAATCCAGTGTTTATTAATATTAAATGAACTTAAAGAAATATATCCATACCAAAGAAGGTTTTGTTGTACGATTCCAAAATGAATGATAAAATGGCAGAGTATTCAATTGTGCAGTAGCAGCAGCCACAAGTCGAGGTTCATTTCCTCCTGAAAACATTCAGAAATATATAAATCATAGATGCTTTTTCACAATAATCAAATGCATAGTTGGACTAAGAATAGATATGCCCTTATGCGTACGGTTTTTTCTACTGAAATAACAAAAAAAGAAGTGAATTTTACACATCTAACAAGAGAAGCAAAGAAAAATGTCTTTGAGACATGCTATTGATACCTAAGGCAGTGCACCATAGACCAGCAAGAGCATCCAGATACTTCTTCCCATTAGTGTCATATACATAGCTACCCTGGACCATTGATCAAGTTGAAGTTAGCTAGTTATACATTTGAAGAAGAAGAGTGCGCACAATTAGTAATAAACTAAAATATACCGGTTATAGAATATAAATCTAAGAAGCATACCTCTGATTTTTCTATCACCAGTGGATGCAAATCATTAGTTTGCCACCCTGCTGTAAAAGGTGCGAGCATATCATGCCCTTTAAATCTGAGAGAAAAATATGTAGAAGTGTCAAATGAATAGTAGATATCATGGACACTATACAGGAATAGTCCATTATTATAAGAACACGACATATATTTTATACATATTAAGCTATCATCAAACTAGATCCATTATTTGACATATTCAACCACATCCTCACTGCAATGAGGATTTGTTTGTGTGATTCATAGAAGCAGCACATACCCTTTAACATTCAAATCATCTTCCTTTTGCAAAGATGCCTCAGTGCCATACAATCTAGCAAGTAAAGGAACTCGACACAAGTTCTCTTGCAAACTTCTAGAAGCAGCAACATGCTTTTGATATGAACCAAGCTGTGAGTAAGAAGAAACACAAAAATAGTACAGATAAATTAAGGACGACAAGCAATAAAACAAAGGAACTAAGTCAACAATGAACCAAGCTTTGCACAAATTACTTTTTATGAATGATCCATTACTAGACACAAAATTAAAATCATATCACTCTAAGTTCAACACCTACATAACTCAAATGCAAATCAATGATGGCTTTCAAAAAGATACATCACAAAACAAACATCAGACAAATTAACTATTCTAAGTGATTAAAAATCTCACTGATTTCCAGAAAAAAATAAAATAAAATAACAGTAGTTAACCACAAATGAAGTCAACAAAACCATCTAATAAAAAAAGATAAAAACTTTCTAATCTCTTTCCACCTAAGCAAAACCAAAAGCAAGCGAAATCTGAGAAGAAGCCAAAAGGCTATCAAAATCTGGAAACTCAAATGAAAAATAATTTTCAAGAAGCAAACGCAAGTACATGCATGAAACACAAAAAGTTGTCAAAGAAAAGTGATACCTGTGCTCGAAGAGACGATCTAAGAAGCTGTCTGATCACCATGTTGCCTTGCTCCAACATGCAACAAGAAGAAGGAGAAGAAGAAGTTTTTAAGAAGATAGGAAAAAGTAACTGAAACAGAGTGACAGTCAGCCACGATTCTTTGTTTTTATTGTTATTGGACTATAGCTTCACCTTAAATCGAGGATTGATTTAATTTAATTTAATTAATGCAAATAATGACAAGAATTACAGTCAAGCGTGACGAAGCTCTCCACTAACAAGTGTTTTTACCAGATTATCCTCTGCCGTCATCACTAGATATTTATTTATTATTTACTCTCCAACCAAATTCCAATAAAATTGGATTTTCTTTTAGAAATTATATAAATTTAATAACATTATCGAATGAAGTCTTGAATAGGGTTAGATTCATGATCTTGAAGTAAAATATAAATAAAATTATATTCATAAACAAATTTTATAGATAAAGAATTGAATTGTACGAGTAACATTTCCATATCAATATATTTATGAAAAATATTAAAATGAGTTGGGGTAATATGGTAATTTCTTGGATCATGTAATGATTACGAGAAAAGATGAGGGGATTAAAATAATTAACAAAATCCATTAATTTAATAATTAAATCATACTTAACAATGGGGGGACCTTAAGGCAAAAGGATATTAAAAAAAATAATAATAATAAAGTTATTTTAATTCTATTTTTATTTTTTTTTTTGTTTTTTTTGTTTTTTTTTTTTTTAGATAAGGATCAATTTCAATTGGCAAATTAGTCAATTTTAGACAACTACCAAAGCCATAATAAAATTTATATTTATTTTACCATATTTTAATTCTAAATACAATGTATATTTACATATAAAATTGAAATTATTAATTAATTAATACCATAAATGATGTAATAAATGGGAGTGAATTAATGCGAAGATTTTTAATTTTTTATTCTTACAAAAAGAAAGAATATTTTAATAGCTTAAAAAAAGGTAAAATTGATGATGTCCTTAAAGGTTGGATACTTGTTGCGTGGGGTACCTTGGTTCCCATTATATTTAAGGGTTACAATCTAGTCATTGTCAAATTGTCACACCATCAAATTTATCAAAGACTTTTCATTCACATCCTCAAAAGTCTCAAACGCACAAACTTACCAATAGAATGTTACAAATAAATCACAAATAACTATTTTTAAATAGTATAATAGTTCTATTGAGATTTTTAGATGTATTAAAATTTAAAAAATCATAAATTTAAATCTTTACAACTATTAATGAAGGATAACTATTAAAAATTTATCTATCCGTTAATTTCAGAACACCAAAAAATAATTAAGGTGTGCGTAAACAGATCTGGATATCTTCAAATACCGAAAAAAAAAGAAAAAAAAAAAGATAAGTCACAAATATAATAAATAGCCTTAGAATTCAAACCCCAAAAATTAATAAAGAAAACAAACTTTTTTAATTATCAGACCAATCCCTTTTAGATCTGAAAGTTATGACGTCATATATACTAATCCACATTACATCAAAATCACATCCCTTAGAGATAAAATCTCAAAGACAAATATGACAACCGTTAATGAAGGGCTTTTTGTAGATACCAAGCCCACGACAGGTTAACCGATCATGAGGTATATGGTTTACTCCCACAATATCGTGGGTTCGAACCCCCTGATCACCTGTTACATGAAAAACCGTTGTATCTCATTTTTCAATGATTGAACGGTTCAACAAAAGCTCCAATTTTGAACTCGATTTGCGAAAGAAGTTTGGTTCTTGATTATCCAAAAACAGAAAAAAGGGGCTGCAACATACTGAAATGAAAAACTGTAAACCATGTCACATTGTAAACAAACCAGTGTTGAATGAGACTTAGATTACCAATAATTCAGTAAAGCAACAATGAAGGTCGGGTTTACAGGGTCAAAAAGGATTTGAATGAAACCCTTTAGCCATAATGAAAGATTGACTGTCTGTTGTTTTTTCTAAAAAATCACCTCATTTACAAACTTCTAAAGCCGACATGTCATTTACCAAACCTCATCCGTTGAAGAACACAGAACTTGCTTGAACCATGCAACACAATTGTATTAGCAACATAATCAAAACTGAAAAAGGTTCCAGGGGTCAAGCAGCTCATTTAAAGAGGTTTCTTCAACTTGTTTTCCACTTCACTTGTCAACCCAGATGATTTAAGGAAAAATTCTACACCCATGTTCAAGGTTAAGTCAAGCGTATCTACAAACCAGATCCAGATGCATGCTTGTGACCGGTACTTGCTGGGACGAATACAGGAAGCTGGTTCGAGACTGAATCCCTTTTGAATCTGGATTCTCGAGATAAGTTGAGTGCCACCCTCTCTTGGCTCTCTCTGGGATTCAAACCTCTCTCATTTTTTAGAATATCCCTTGTCGGGGCACTCAAAACTGGACCACCAAAGAAAATAGAGTCTCCTGTGTACATCAGCTTCTCCGCTTGCTGTACTGGAGCCTGCATTGCTGAAGAAGAAGATTCTTGGGGTGGAATAATTGGTCTTCTATTTTGACCATTAATTTGTGCACTAGAATGTGGTAATCCTATTTGTAAGGATGACCTGTTCCGAGTTTCTGATGCTGATACTGGAACAGATACATACCTCCCAGCTTCTTGGTCCCAAACAACTGATGTCCTCTTAACATCTCTAAGAAGAGAAGCAGCAGGAGCAGACAGCAGTAATGGATCGGTAATGCCTCCCTTCTGCATTATCTTCTCATCAAATCCTGATGAAGTGTTGGTTGTTGACTTGTTGATACTAGTGAAAGCTGCTGCTGCCTTAGAAGCTGCAGGACAATCAGGAACACCAGGACCTGATGCAGTTGCGTTAAAATGACCAAAAGCATGAGCTTGTGGCAGAGGGCTAAGTGTGACTGGCTCATGAATCTGGCTTGGACTGCTGAAGCTACTCACACTTTGAGTCCCAGTTTCATACTCATCACGGCTTCCTTGACTTGGAGCAAAGGAATTTTTAAGTGCCAATAATCCCAGCTCATTCTTGTTCTCTTTATTTGCCCCCATATCTGTGCTCACACTACTTCTGACACTCAGATTGCTACTGGAGCTGAATTCAGAATCGGGCACACAGCGATTATCAACAGGTCGTAAAACAGATGACGATGCCCTAGCTTTAGCTGCAGCCCTCACGGCTTCATTCGAATCTAACTTTGCAAGCTTCCAAGCACTAATACGAACAGGTCTTTTGGGCACTTTGTTCCCTCTTTCTGCAACTCCAGCTGCATCTGGATCAACAGTTGAAGGGACCATTCCAGGCTCCAAGTGGGGTACAACTTCATCCTGACAAACCATATTCAAAACAAATCTTTTAAAAGCCTCAACCAGTTTTGAGACTTTGTTTCTGTATAAAACAAGGAGATAGAAGCTAGAAGCTTAGCTCAGCAGGAAATGTTGTTAACACTGCTAAAATAGAACAAACAGATTACTAGGGCATGTGCCTCCAATTATAGAATTAGAGGCAGGCTGGTTTTATGTAATTGATCATTTATATGGAAACAATAATGAAAGGTTTGGATAAATGGCCCTCATTTTACATAGAATATGACAAAACTTATAAGCCATTACATTTATGTCTTTTGAATGGTTAAGATTACATTTATCATGTGTCATTTATGAGTGAAGCAGAAAACTTTTTTGGGCTTATAAGTTTGATCCGGGTAGAATAAGAAAGTTCAATCCCTTTTCCGTATATTATAAACATAACTATATATAGAAAAGTGGATATATACAGCTCTAAAATTAGAAGAAAGAATAAATAAATAATAATATCCGAGGTGGAGTAAACATTAATAATTTCATATCCAATTATGTTATATAATAACTATATTTTAAAAATAAAAATTGCAGTGATGAGCAAAGTTGTCATCTGAACACTTCGATAGAGAAACAATAAGCCATCAAACGAACAATCTATGACTAAAATAATTTAATATTCAGATAACATATCTACTCTAAAAAGCCTACTCAGGATCCTTCAATAGGTTCACCGAAGGTTTTGTAACATGGAGAGTTAAAATGAAAAAGTAAACACTAAAGGGTAGTACCTGATAATCGACGAATATCCTTGGAGGGGTACACCAAGCCCCCTTATACGGCAAGCCCAGAGAACTTCCGCCACTCATGCCAGTTGTGGTAGATCCAGTTGGAGAGTATAACAAATTTGGCACTTCCTCATCCACAGATGCTCCAGCAGGTGCCTCACTCATTGCTCTCATTGCCACAACATACTCATATGTTGTGATACCCTAATTTCATATAAATCAAATGGTAGAAAGGAACTTTTAGAGAGGTAAATTTTAGATCTGCACAAAAATTACTCAATGTGTCTACTGTATCTGTTATCATCTATTTTATTCTTTTATTTTTTATTTTTTTTATCTAACTATATCTACTTACCAAAAGGGTAGAAATTTTACTACCTTCCCAACACAGATATGATTGTAAGATTCCAAATTATTACTCAATCATATAAGCACCACACAAAACACGAAGAGAAATGAAAGCAAAATAAAGTTTTTGGCCACTGACCTTTCTTATCAGTATCATGTGGAAAAAGAAAAGTTCACCCAGAGGTATACAAGCCAGGATGGAAACACCGGTACATATAAACTACACAAAATTTAGATCCAGAATTAGCATTAGAGTTTTGACCAGGATATACAGATAAACACATGCCAGTTTCAGTCTGTGACATGAGATGTACCACAACTACTGCAAATGGGGCACGAGAGAAACCATTTCCAAGTCTGTCAACAATTTCAGTTTCCATGCCTTTCTTATTAACAAAGCAACGCACAAGGACAGCAATACCAACTCCTGCTTCAATAACAAGCTGAATCACACACAGACGAAGAGAGCACCATCAATGTTTGAAAACATATTTTTTTTATAGATCAATTATTACTCAAAATACAAACCCAAACAAGACTGATGGCCATAAGAAAGATAAAAGTCATATAATTTTTGTGTCCCACGCAATTGTTAAGCCACTGCAACAATATAATAAAACGAGGTTAGTTTCTAGTAACTAAACCGTTAAATGACGTTTACTCAGAATAAATGGAAAGATAATTCAAGATGCAACATGAAAATATACCCGGCAATGGTGATCAAAACCATCCACACATTTATCACAACTTCTGCAATGCTTACTGAACTTGCGGACCTGCAGCACGAAAGTCAGGCTTCACATAAAAAGCTTTTAATAACAGAATAAAGTAGGCAATAAATATCAGTTTTCTGTTAGGGAATTGCACCAATTATTTGGATTACTATTATAGGACTATAGACTTTAATAGATTTATAACCCCACTGACTATATTTCTGTGTAAATATGTAGGCATGCAAGTTCGCCGGGATGTTGTAGAACAAGAATGTGATACAAGCATTGCACAAGTAAATATATTTTTTGTATTTCTTATCAGGAAAGAAAAAATCTTGTTCTACTATAATATTATATCTACATGATATGTACCACTGCCCTAATGTACTAGTTATGATGTAATACCTCAGCATTGCACAGTGTGCAGAACAATGCATCATCACCCTGTTGCTCAGCTGTCTCTTCCTCTTTACGGCAATCTTCATGAACACACACCGCGCACAAGATTCCTCCAATGTTACAATGAGATTTTCTGGTTGCTGGTTCTCCTGGAATATCTACTCCCACACTATCTCCTACTGAACCTTTCTTACTAGAGTTTGCTGCCCCTATGGAACTTCTTGAAAGTGATGATGGGGAAGAGTGCACCCCACTACCAAATTCATCAAATTTTCTAGGTAGGTCCTTCGCTGATAACCCATGTTTTATGTTAGATTTGTTTGTTACTTTACCATCAAATTTGGACATTATGCCAGGATCTGCAGGATTAATTGCAGTACAACGGGCATATAGAATGAATACGAGAAGTGCCTGTCATGACATGACATTAATACAGGAACAACATCAGACATGAAGGCTATGTTTCTTTATGCGGAAAAATGTATAAATAATGGCTTTGACGACACAATAATATGAGTGCAATAAAACATGATACTTTTATTTTTTTGAAACCTAAAAATCCCTCAACCTTCCCTAGAAGCTCACCAGCTTCTAAAGTGGAGCTACTCCGAAACCCTATTACCTTGGTGGCCAACAAACTCATGGGACATAATATCCCAAGTAGGTGGCCCCAAAAAAATTTGAAATTTTAACTTCTCAGTAGAAACTAAAGGAAACCAGTAAACCCAACCCTTGGGGTTAGCAAAATATTACATTTATTACAGGTCTGTGGTCAGGCCACTGAAAAAAGAAAAGACAAACACATTTTTCTTCATTTGGGAGAATTCAATCAACTCTATTCTGCATTTTGTGCTTCAAACATGAGGGTGGTTGGAAAATTCTATAATCATGGTCTACTATTCATCTAGAGAAGCCATCTGAAACATATAATTCAACTAAGCACTTTCTAAGACTTTTGTTGACCCTGACCAGCAAATTCAATCCTGTGCTCAATCTGGTTAGTACTTTACATTGTACTTGGTCTGAAACCAAGCCATCAATTTTTATGAAGGCACTTCAGGTTTGACCCATAACTGCCTTCCACTCACAAGGAAAAGAAACAAGGACGAGGCATGCACTTGATAAGAGTAAAACCTTTTTCCAAACACTACCAAGGACCAGTCCTTGAATTGGTAAAATTAAGTTTTCAATGTCAATATATTAACATGTGGATTGACCAAGTGACTCGCTTCTCTTGTTTGAGTCCATGTCCAGGTCACTGTTTCCAATTCGCTTAAAAAAATCATATAGAATGAATTCACATACCACTGGAGAGTAAACAGCAAACAAGGCGTATTCCCAAGTGTGGCCTCCAAGAAAAGGAGCAAAGAAAGCGTAAAATGCAACCACTAACAAGCAGAATACAGTAATTGCAACAACCTATCAAAGGTAGGGCCAAAGATGCATCAGAAACTAAAAGATATCAAAGGAAAACGAAATCAATTAACACAAATTGCACAACCATAATCTACAAGTTGAAAATAATTGAATGCAATCTTGATGGATGCAACTGATATGTGACTAATTAACTACTTCACAAATTATAATAGCATTTAAAATCTCACATCATCCCATGTACATGTTGAGCTTAATTACTGGACTTCAAGTGGATCCAAAGAGGTGTCCCACATGCTCTATGTATATACTTTAACCAAAAGAACGAGTTGATTTCAACACAAAACTCTGTCAACTTGGCTCTAATATCATGTTCAGTAACCTTCAATTTAAAAAATAAAAAAATAAATAAAAAAAAACTTATGCTGATAAGACCATATGAAAGGGTCCGCCAATATTGCTCAAATTCTAGCACATATACAAAACCGCAACCTAAAAACAAAATGAAGATCAACTATTGCCTAAAAATAGCACAAAGACATGCTCAAAGTTTAAATTAGCAGAGGTCTAATTCAATATGGCAAAGAATAACAAAACTACAAAAAAAATGAAATAAAATTACAACATGTGATTTTGTAAGTGATTTTCTTATCCTCATTATCCACACATTACACAACAACCAGTAAAAAATATATATAAACACAACACCCTAACAGAATTAAACCCATAACGCATACTAAACACACTCACAAAACAAGTAAAACCTATATTTAGAACACCACAAACCTAGAAAAAATGAAACCCACATGGGAAACACGGATCATGAACTGCTTTAAGCTAAATACAAAGAAACACAGCAATGAAAGCAGTGAATAAAAGAAACCCTAGTCAAACTCACGAAAAAAACAGAGAAAAATGTTGAAGTAAATACCTGAAAGGTGTGTGCAGGGAGTTGCCACCCATGTTTTCTCACCATAACTGCCCGCTTCTCAGACCTTAAAAAGAACAAACAAAAACCCACAAAAACCCTAATGCAGACCCAGAGAGACAAACTAGAGAAGACAACATCAAGTGAAAATAAGCTCCATTTTCATTCTAATAGAATGAAAAAGGGAAAAGGAAAGGAAAAGAAAATAACAAAACTAAAAACAAATGAGTGTCCAAGAAATAAACAAGTGACAGAACAAAGAAAAAGGCGTTGACGCAATGAATGAATGAGTTAAAAGAAAGAAATGAATCAATTTTAAATTAAAAATTAAAAAAAAAAAGAGAAAATTAAGTAATAGTTGAGTACTTTTGTGTTAGGTATTTGTTACTCTTTTGTTTACTGAAAAGAGATTAGGTTTGAGTGTTGGGTTGTGTGCGTTAATTATGTCGGAGAGTACTGTTGGGTGACTTGGGTCCCCATTCTATATTATTCTTTCCCTCTTTATGGCTGGGCCTCTTGGCTTACTATATTAGAGTATGTCGTATGCAATACACTAACCACTTGACTTGTATGTTAGTGAGAGGTCTTGCAACTACTTACTTTACCTGATTTATTGAGCTTGTAAAATATTTAATCGATCATAAGATTAGTTGAAATGAGTTTAAAATTAGTTAAGGTATACAAAGATCTTGCGTTTAAGACACACATGTAAGAAGCATGTCGTGACAAGCACTGAATCACAACAACAAAAATTTCTTGTTATGGTATGATTCCATTAACCAAGATCACGATTTTGACTGAATAATCAGCATAAAATAATCATACAAGGTTATGTGATTTTACCTCCGGATCTCTCCAATATAGGATTGAGTGTTTTTGGCGTGAATTGGGAGAGAGAGAAAATAGCTTGATTTTATTCAAGTATATTTCCCAAAAGAATTCTCATATTTAAACTAAAAACCCTCTTCCTTTTATAGTGTAAATCCAAATAGGAATTCATTAAGGATTACCAATCCTTGAATCTCTATTTTGGTAGGATTCCACTACTCCTAAAGGAAACGATAGATATTATCCTATTTAAATATCAAATACTTAATTAAATAAAAAACCTATTTATTTAATTCCATAAATATATATAAACTAATGAAATAAATATATTTAATTACTTTATATATATTTAATATTTGGGTTTTAATATATTTAATTAAATTAAATATATATATATATATTAATTAAAATTATTATGAATCTAATTTTGCTAAAAACTCTTCCAATAAATTAGATAATGGCGTCAATCCCTTAGCAAAATTACTAAAGTGTCTTTTTTGTCCATAATGAAAAAAATATCCCTAGACTCCCAAGTTACCGAAATATCCTTTTCGGCCTAAGGACAAGATTGTTCTTCTATTTCCATTTCTCACTTACCTATCTTCTATGTTTGTGACCCAATCAAGATTGACTCACTTTGCTTGCGGTGTCCCGATAACTAATTAAACATCAAGCATTAGTGTTTTCGCGCACCAATCAAGATTGACCTCTAACAAAGTATCATGATTCCCCAGTAAGTAAAGAATCAACGATTTAGGCTTACCTTGTCTACGGTATGGTTACTGTGTAATTCGATCAATTTCATCATCTTTTATCTCATCAAGGTTTGAGGTACAGAAGTAGTGTCTACCTCAAAAGCTACCCAGACATGTTATATATTTGGTTCTTGAATCTGATGACTATAAAATTAGATTCGAGCACCATCTCGATTTCACCGTGACCACAGATTTGAGATCGTAGTTCTTTAACCAAATATCTCGCTGAGATAAGATATCCTATAACCAGAAGTGATAAATCTTTTGTTAATCCACCATAGCCATAGTATACTTCTCGATGTAACCAATCATCATCGTTATGGTAATCCCTAAAAGAGACAACGTTAGGCTAGTGTCAAATCACATCGATATTTACATACGGTGCTCTGATGATCTCAAGTCGAAGGACCACGTGTACCACCATCTGTAAGAGGATATATTCCACAGACACTGGGTTTATCATCTCATGTGGAATCCTCTAATTGGTCAGTCAAGTGTACTTGCATAAGTAAGCACCCATGCGTTGTACTTGGTTAATGCCCACAACCTTGACATGTGAGACATGTCACTACCTTTCGATAGGGTCACTCAAAGTGATGATAGTCCCTTCGTATAATCTATGTCCTTGGTCGAATTTATACTATGACTGCGGGTAGTTTAAGAAGGGCCACTATTTGTGCTCATAAGGTTTTCACAATTAAGATTTATAACATTTAATTCCCTCATCATTTGTTTTAACCTTTCTAATGACATATATTATTTTATTTACACACAGTAAAAAGATGCTACGGTATATATGCTCATAAATAAGCAATGTCTTTTTATTCATTTATTTGAAATGAGTTTACAAGAGCTAAAACATTAGCTCTAATGCACATACTCTAACAATATAAAGTGGCCACCTACCACATTTGTGACTTATTTGGCTTCACCTACAATATTTGTGACTTACCTTGTCCATTAGGCTTGTAAAGTATTTAATGGATCCCAAAATTAGTTAAGGTATGTGCAGACTAGTCTATTAAGTTTATAGGATGTTCAATAAATCCTGGGATTTATTGAGGTACGTGCAAGCTGGGAAAAAATGTATTTAAACATGTACATATATATTCATATAGTTGTACGTTCAAATTGGACAAAAAGAAAATGGATTTGCAAATGTATAACTTAATCAGATCAACTATTGCCTAAAAATAGCACAAAGACATGCTCAAAGTTTAAATTAGCAGAGGTCTAATTCAATATGGCAAAGAATAACAAAACTACAAAAAAAATGAAATAAAATTACAACATGTGATTTTGTAAGTGATTTTCTTATCCTCATTATCCACACATTACACAACAACCAGTAAAAAATATATATAAACACAACACCCTAACAGAATTAAACCCATAACGCATACTAAACACACTCACAAAACAAGTAAAACCTATATTTAGAACACCACAAACCTAGAAAAAATGAAACCCACATGGGAAACACGGATCATGAACTGCTTTAAGCTAAATACAAAGAAACACAGCAATGAAAGCAGTGAATAAAAGAAACCCTAGTCAAACTCACGAAAAAAACAGAGAAAAATGTTGAAGTAAATACCTGAAAGGTGTGTGCAGGGAGTTGCCACCCATGTTTTCTCACCATAACTGCCCGCCTCTCAGACCTTAAAAACAACAAACAAAAACCCACAAAAACCCTAATGCAGACCCAGAGAGACAAACTAGAGAAGACAACATCAAGTGAAAATAAGCTCCATTTTCATTCTAATAGAATGAAAAAGGGAAAAGGAAAGGAAAAGAAAATAACAAAACTAAAAACAAAAAAGAAGAAACGAGTGTTAAAGAAATAAACAAGTGACAGAACAAAGAAAAAGGCGTTGACGCAATGAATGAATGAGTTAAAAGAAAGAAATGAATCAATTTTAAATTAAAAATTAAAAAAAAATGAGAAAATTAAGTAATAGTTGAGTACTTTTGTGTTAGGTATTTGTTTACTGAAAAGAGATTAGGTTTGAGTGTTGGGTTGTGTGCGTTAATTTTGTCGGAGAGTACTGCTGGGTGACCTGGGTCCCCATTCTATATTATTCTTTCCCTCTTCATGGCTGGGCCTCTTGGCTTACTATATTAGAGTATGTCGTATGCAATAAACTAACCACTTGACTTCTATGTTAGTGAGGGCTCTTGTAACTACTTACTACATTTTTTATTTACTTGATCTATTAAATTTATAGTATATTTAATGGATCATAAGATTAGTTAAGATGAGCTTGAGATTAGTTCAGATGTGTAAAGGTCTTGCATTTAAATCACATCTATAAGAACCATGTGTGGCAAGCGCTAAATAACAACAAAAAAAAAAAAATTTCTTGCTATGATATGATTCCATTAACCAAGATCACGATTTCGACTGAATAATCAACATAAAATAACCATACAACGTTATGTGATTTTATTGGGAGAGAGAGAAAATAGCTTGATTTTATTCAACTATATTTCCCCAAAGAATTCTCATATTTAAACTAAAAACCCTCCTCCTTTTACAGTGTAAATCCAAATATGAATTCAATAAAGGATTACAATCCTTGAATCCCTATTTTGGTAGGATTCCACTAATCCTAAAGGAGATATTATCCTATTTAAATATCAAATACTTAATTAAATAAAAAAACCTATTTATTTAATTCCATAAATATATATAAACTAATGAAATAAATATATTTAATTAGTTTATATATATTTAATATTTGGGTTTTAATATATTTAATTAAATTATATATATATATATATATTAAAATTATTATGAATCTAATTTTGCTAAAAACTCTTCCAATAAATTAGATAATGGCGTCAATCCTTGAGCAAAATTACTAAAGTGTCTTTTTTGCCCATAATGACAAAAATGTCCCTAGACTCCTAAGTTATCAGAATATCCTTTTCGACCTAAGGACAAGTTGTCCTTCCATTTCCATTTCTCACTTAACTATCTTCTATGTGTGTGACTCAAAGGCTTCTCACTTTGTTGGAAGTGTCTCGATAACTAATTAAACATCAAGCATTAGTGCTTTTGTGCACCAATCAAGATTGACCTCTAGCAAAGCATCATGATTCCCCAGTAAGTGAAGAATCGATGATTTAGGCTTACCTTGTCTACGGTATGGTTATCGTGCAATTTGATCAATTTCATCATCTTTTATCTCATCAAGGTTGGAGGTACAAAAATAGTGTCTACCTCAAAAGCTACCTAGACATGTTATAGATTTGGTTCTTGAATCTGATGACTATAAAATTAGATTTGAGCACCAACTCGATTTCACCGTGGCCACAGATTTGGGGTCATAGTTCTTTAACCAAATATCTCGTCGAGATAAAATCTCTTGTAACCAGAAGTAATGAATCTTTTGTTAATCCACCATAGTCATAGTATACTTCTTGATGTAACAAATCACCACCATTATGGTAATCCCTAAAAGAGACGATGTTAGGCTAGTGTCAAATCACATTGATATTTACACACGATGCTTTGGTGATCTCAAGTCGAAGGACCACATGCACCACCATCCGTAAGAGAATATATTTTAGAGACACTAAGTTTACCATCTTGTGTGGAATCCTCTAATGGGTTAGTCCAGTGTACTTGCATAAGTAAGCACTCATGCATTGCACTTGGTTAATGCCCACAATCTTGACATGTGAGATTTGTCACTACTTTTCGATAGGGTTGTTCAACGCGATGATACTCTCTTCGTATAATCTATGTCCTTGGTCATATTTATACTATGAATGCGGGCAGTTTAAGAAGGGCCACCATTTGTGCTCATAAAATTTTCATAATTAAGATTTAGGCCGAACGACTTACGCATACCTAAGGTTTGCCGAAACGACAAGTTGGTACCCAAAAGGTTTTGAAACGACAAACAGGTACCTTCCGTCGTGTGTTGTTAGTGATTTCTGTTTGTTCATAGTGGAAAGACTAAAATGCCATTAAAAGTTTGATATTTTAGTTTTTTATAAATTAAAAAATTTCTAAAAAACCCCCTAGGTTTGCTAATTTAACTAAACATGACAAAAACACCCCCACACCCGCAGTGCCAGATTCCGGCCACCACCGCCGGAATCTGGCCGAAAAATTGCGTTACAACACAGACCCGTCGGATTTGCGTCGTAATGTGTCGATCTGGCCATCGAGGCAGCAGGTGGAGTTTTGCAGCTTGACGGCCAGATCTACAGCTAGATCTGGCCGTCGTGGCTGCAAAACTCCATTTGCGACGTTGACGGCCAGATCTGGCAGTAGATCTGGCCTTTTCTGGTCAGATCAACCACAGATCTGGCCGAAAAAGGCCAGATCGACGCGTTATGACACAGATCCAACGGGGTCTACGTCGTAACGCAATTTCTGGCCAGATTCCGACAGTGGTGGCCGGAATCTAGCATTGCAGGTGTGGGGGTGTTTTTGTCATTTAACAAACATTTTATATATGGGGTGTTTAATTAAATTAACAAACCTAGAGGGTTTTTTAGACATTTATAAAAAACTAAAGTATCAAAATTTTAAGGGCATTTTAGTCTTTTCACTATGAACAATCAGAAATCACTAACAGCACATGACAGAAGGTAACTGTTTCTCGTTTCAAAACCTTTTGGGTACCAACTTATCGTTTCGGCAAACTTTGAGTATGCGCAAGTCGTTTGGCCTTAAGATTTATAACATTTAATTCCCCCGTCATTGGTTTTAACCTTTCTAAAGACATATATATATTATTTTCTTTACACACAATAAAAAGATGCTACAGTATATATGCTCTTAAATAAACAATGCCTTTTTATTCATTTATTTGAAATGAGTTTACAAGAGCTAAAACATTAGCTCTAGTGCACTTATTCTAACAACATAAAGTGGTTACCTACCATATTTGTGACTTATCTGGCTTCACCTACAATATTTGTGACTTACCTTGCCCATTAGGCTTGTAAAGTATTTAATGGACCCCAAAATTAGTTAAGGTATGTGCAAATTAGTCTATTAAGTTTGTAGGATGTTCAATAAACCCTGAGATTTATTGAGATACGTGCAAGTTGGGAAAAAAATGTATTTAAACATGTACATATATATTCATATAGTTTTACGTTCAAATTGGACAAAAAGAAAATGGATTTGCAAATGTATAATTGTTCGATTGTTGTATACTATATTTATCGTTCATGACCATGAGCTGCAATTTTTTTTTTTTTTTTTTGGTAGATTTCACCGGGTAAATTCTCTCAATAATTATCCTTACTAATACTTATGAGGACTTGAATTTAAGAACTTATGTTGAACTCTTTTACTCTTTTATTATCGGATTACATAGTGATGGTTGACCATGAACTGCCTTGGCCTACTTTGTGTTGTCAATTTGAAATATGTAGCGGAATTTGTAAACATATATTTGTCCAACCTATGATTGGATTGGACAAAAATTTCTTTGGGATTGACAAATGTGAGATTATTCCATCATAGTGCATCAAAACAGTGGCTTGTAAGGTGTAATCAAGTAAGTGTATTATTTTATAATGCATTGTTTTTATACAATGTGTAATTGTGCGGCTGTCTGCATATACAACTAAATTAGAAATTAGGTTCAGAAATATATAAATAAATAAATAAATAAATAAATAAATAAAATAAATTGATTCTAACAAATACTTAAAATTAAAAATATATTAATTATTATTTTGGTTAAGTAGAGTGCGTGATTTCAGTGGGGAAACACCGCGTGAAACATTTTATTTTATTTTTAAATAAATTTAACAATTAAAAGATGGCTGAACAGTTACAAAATGGATGCCAGCCAGACTTCTGGGCACGCGTCACACGCGCTATTGTATACAGATACAAAATTACGAAAATACGCCCAGCAGTGTCGGCACGCGCGAGGCGTGCAGGAGGCGAGTGAGTTAACAAAAAGATGAAGCGAGCGTAAGAGTGAGACATTGAGATTACGAAACCCTAAACAGAGCGCAAAATTTGGGCACAACGAAGCATTCACCACTCGCTCAACCCCGTCGCGTGAGATTTCTCGCTCGCTCTGACAGATCGAAATCGAAGCTGCTCTTCTTCTTCTTCTTCTTCTTCATATACAAAGAGAGAGGTACAACATTCACTCGTTTTCTCTCTTTCTCTCATTACTAACCTTTCGCTTTCTTTTATGCGTTTAAAGAATTGTGTGAATTGAGCTTTTGTTCTTGATTTAATTTCTTGAACTGATTGATAACTTGAACATTTTGACGTGTAATTCTTGTTGTTAGGTTATTGAATTGTGGTGTGAGCTCAATTGTTTAAACAGGTCAGCTCGGCTGAGTTTGAGTGATGTTAGTTTGCTTCAATTTTAAATTGTATCAAGAAACGAATTGGTTGGAAGAAATGATTTGATTTAGTAGTATTAGTAGCATTGCGTTTCGTTTTTGTTCCGGTTTAGGTTTGCTTTACCAGTGGAGATGTTATGAACTGAGTTTATTTACTTTGTGAATGTGAGAAGTGCACTAAATAGGTGTATAAATTGATTAAGCTGTGAAAGAAGCTGTTTATGAGTTCCGATCGGGTTGTTTGGAGTATTTTTGAGCTAAGTTGTGAATGTGTACGAAATGTGCGGTTTTATCTGCGGGGAAATGTTATAAGTGGATTATATTAGTTTATTTGAATATGGAAATTGTTGTAGGGGTTTGTGGTACTGGACTTCCTTTTCGGTTTAATGTGATACGTTAGAATTGTGAGTAACTGGGCACTTGTCTATTGTTTACTTTTTATGCCAGGTAGGTGTTCTGGTGGATTTTAGGCCTTGATGTGGTAGATGTTCTTGTTCTGTAACGCATTTTATGTGAAAGTGAGACAAAGTGAGAGTTATTGGTTGATACTCAAGCTCTATGCAGTTATTGTCAAAGGTTACCGCTTTGACCTAACTGAAAAACAAGCTCATGTTTTTATGATCCTAGAAATGAACAATTTTTGACAGAATTAGTATAGTATTAGTGTAGGGGATTCTGGATCA